GCAACGACGATGGGAAGGGAAGAAGAAGGGAGGGAGTTGGATTGATGGAGGGCGAAGTGTTGGATTTGGGGGTTAATGCCACTTTCCCCAATGTGCTTAGAAACCAAGCTGGGAGACCGCCCTCTCAGCCCATGGCAGACTGCTGCCTGGAAACCCGGCCCAATTAGGATTAGGGGGCGCCGCGGGCTGAGGCGTAGCCTGTGCGGAGGAGGCGGATCCCTGCGCAAAGTCTACGACGATAGGGTCACTAACAATTTCTGGGGCACCTTGAGGGAGAGTTACTGTGGCATCTGGCCGAGATTCCTGCAAAGAGAATGTTGGTTGTTGTGAGGGGGAGAGCATTCCACAGCAATTTCCGCCCGGATGCCCCCCAAAATCCGTCGCAGAGCCTCATCAGACGCTGCCGGCCGGAACCAGCGGGTTTGGCATCGGTGTTAATGGCCAAGGTGCCTCGACTATCACGGGCGACTTGAGAAAGTCTCCACAAACTCCGCCCCGCTCACTCTCGCACCCGCTCTCGCACAGGTGTCGGCCGTCCGGCGTCACGTTAGGACGATTCGCCATTGATTGACCAGACCAGACCAGTCCGGGTCCGTGTCTCCTCAAGGCGCATCAGCACCACATCGGCGAAACTCCGCTCGCGCGGGTGCGAAATGCGCAGGACGATTTCAAGGCCTGCGATGAAATGCTGGGGAAGAGACAGAGAGACAAGAGTACAACTTTTCGGCCCCCAATATGCACATCATTGCGTATTCTGCTGTCGTGGCCTCGGGGTTTTCTGTTTTGGTCAGGCTCATTGACAAGTCATGAGCTTTTCTTTACATACAGATGTCGCTTACGAGGGTTCCATGCTCATCAACGCGAGACGGCGTTCGGAAAAGGGCAAGGCAAGGGGGTGGGATGAAAAAAATGGTGTTGTTTTCTGGGTGCGTCTTCCGAACCAAAAGGAACTCAACTGTGGCCGTGACCATGACGCCGGATGCTGGTGGTGTTTCTCCTGCTGCGCTGCCCTGCGAGCAAAGCAAATGGCACAACCGTGGCCATGAGCCTATCGAAACGCCTTGCGGAGTTGATGCAGGGATCGACGCCCGTTGCGAGGGGTCTCCCTCTTGGTGTCTGCCCCGTTGGCGCAACTTGCATCTCCCAGATGGCCCGTGTCTGCCAGAGCCAGAGAGTAGGAGCTCGCTCTTCCGTGACATCTTCGTGAGTCGCTTTCCTTGACTGCTTAGGTTTCCACTAGACGATCGAGCATTGGCCAGGATGAGCCCGCGATCCTTTGATTTGCCCATCTCTCGTTGGAGGAGTTGGGAGAGTTGATGCACCTCGACCCTCCACCTCAGCCCTCTTTTACGGCTGTGCCTGCGATGGCTGCTGCGATGGACCTGGCGTTGCGCAGCCTTCATGCAACTCTGGTGCATCAATGGGGACCGACTCTTGCACATCAACTCCAGAGTCTCGTGCTTGGATCTGTTTTGAATCGTTTTACCTTGTCGCAAGTCAAGGATTTGGATGGAGAGGGCATTGCACTGCCGAGTTGCCATGCATATCGTTCGTTTGGTGAGGAACAAACACCGAGGGACCTCCTTGGAGGGGGATCCATTGGATCTGGAGTGCAAGGGCCAAAGTCCTACGATGCCACTACGATGAGTCTAGTTGAGACGCGATCTGGGGCACGACCAGCATGTCACTGATGAGTCTGAGTCTGCCGGCACCAGAATAACCTCGTTCCCTCCCTCTTGTCCCCCAAGACCAAGAGTCCTCCTCGCCCCTTCGAGCACCCAGCGTCTCTCTCCTGCGTGGGCTCATCTGCATGCACTCACGCCCCCCTCCAGCGTCCAATGGACCACAACCACCTCCGCTTGATCCACACGTAGGGCTGCTTCTCTGGACCAGGGGTCGGGGCGAAACAAAATGTCCTGTCACCGTTGACTCAATCAGCGGTTCGGCGATTTCCCTTTTGGTTCACGCTCGCGATTTTCGGCCCCCAATCTCCTCCAAAGATCCATTCCCACCCGCCTCCCATCCCTGTTGCGGGCAACCTGTCCTCAGGTATGCGTCCTGAGGCCCCATCTCGTCTCTCATCGTCCTAGGGTTCGTTGCTGCGACTCCGACTCTTTGATGGTAAAGGTGGTGGTTGTCGCCGGGCCCTGAAACCTGCGTCACCTAGTCACGCGTCTGCGAATGTTTTGTTCTTGGCATGTCACTGGTCTAAACAAAACTGTACGGATCTTATGAAGCCATCGCAGTCTCGACTGGCGCCAAGACGACAAGAAACATGCCGAGTTGCGCAAAGTCGTCACCAAAGTACGCAAACATGCAGCCATTCAATCAAAAGGGCACATGTATCCACGCAAGCTCAACCTCAGCCCTACCATAAGCATCGCTCGGTCAAACACAAGAGTGTCGTCGACTCGTAAAAAGGTCCCGACCATGAGCCAATGGCCGTCGACTTTATCGGGCAGCCTGCCCGTGACCCTCTCGCGTAAGGGACAAATTTGGGTGCCTCGGCTGGCGAACCCCATTCCCAAGGCACCCGTATTTCGGACTCGCAGGGGCTACGTATGCTCTTTTCTTTTGGTTCTTTTGGGCTTGGTTTAGCAGTGATTTAGAGATCTCTCGTCTCTTCATGTTCCCGTCCATCCTTTCCTGTGGACCCTAGCACAGGGAACAACCCCCGCTGTCTCACGGAGTGGCTGCAACCTTTCGAGATCTTTGTTGGTCCTTCAAGGGAGCTAGGTCGTAAATAGCCTCGTAAGAATCTAAACCAGGACAACCCGTGGTCAAGGCACCCGTGAATTGGTTACCCTGATTCGACGATGCCATGTCGAGTCCAGTTCCACGCTCCATGGGTTCCGACGATGGGGTCATCTGGTCCAGGGGCATGGCAGAAGTTCCCGATTAACTGGTTGCCTACATATCTCAAGTCTCGATCTAGCATCATCTCCATTTTTAACCATGGTTCCTGGACTAACTGCAAGGGATCACGATGGCCTTGAAAGGCCTCAAGGCAGCATTTTATTTTCGTTCGGGTACTATCTTTGTCCCCGCTCAAGTTAGATTATCTCTGAATCTAGTCGGCGATGTGATCCCATGACCAGACCCATGGCACTGACATGCATGGCTTACCCGTGCTACTATTCTCGGCTCACAGTCTATCTTTATAGGTTTTCTTATTTTATCTTGACTCAAGTAGAGGCTGACTTGATGGCTTAAGAGAGAGTTCGGTAAAGTCTGTGGTCTTGGTGATGGGCTCAAGAGTTGGTTTGCTTGTTTACTTGTGTTGTGTTGCTACAGCCCTCAAAGAACCAGTCCATACACAAGTTTCCCATCAGATATGAATTTAAGGTGAGAATTAGGCACTGTCATGATTGTATTTCACTTCCACGGTCATAGATGCGAATTATATGTCTAAGCAAGCAGATCAATTACTACATCTTCAAACTACTCAACTTCAAGATAATGTTTGCAGATCCCGCAACTCCTAACCTACCTGATATCCCATATTGATAGCCCACATTGACTTTTCTTCTCAACGCCCAAGCTCTCACTCTGAGAAAGTCTTAGCGCGCCGGAGTTGGATCGTTGTAGTAGGTAGACCTACCACGAGTGGACAGTGGAGGGCGTTCACCTCGTGATGTCGATTCCCTACGCCCTCGGGGACGGCTGCCGTCTCGCTGTTGAGAGTGAGATCGCTGACCTCGTGATGTCGACTCCCTAGCTGACGAGGGACGATTGTTATCTCGATGTTGAGTACGAGGGCGCTGATCCTGTGATGTTGACTCCCTACGGCTGCCATCTCGGGGTTGAGAGCGAGACCTTTCAGAGCGAAAGTGCTGTGAGTGAGGCGGTGCAGAACTAGGTCCCTGGGAGGCGTGGCGACGGCGGCTTCTAGTTCTAGGCTCATCCCTGGTAGAGGACTGGCTTAGGTTTCTGTGATAGGCCATATCTTGGACAACAAACTGACCCGGGGACATCACTTTCGTTCCCAAGTTTTGACTCTGACCTCGGTTGAATCGCGACTCCCGCACAGCGGGCGAAGGTAGAGGTATTTGGTGTTGACTACCTGCCACGGGAGGATCTTGGGGATACTGCATCCCTTGCTGAGCTTGAAACCCAGGTGGATCATCCCACACGTAATTTCCCTGCGTATATTCAGATAGTGTCCGGTCCGCGTTGGCAAACATGGAGGCCCCCCCTTCAGGATATTGATACTTCCTCGGCTTCTTCCTCTGTTCCTCAATATCCTCTTCATGGCACTTGAAACACTTCCTGTCCATTTCCGTAATGTGAGTATGTGTTTCGCAGGCCGGGGGCATACTACCAGTGCATGTGACGAGTGCGTAGCAACAGTCGATGAAATGCAGCTTTTCCCAGAACCAACCCCAGCACGGGGACCGTCGCTCGTAGATGGTGTGTCCACAGGTATACTTGTACCCGTCGTAAGTACACATGGTTGCTGTGTGATCTGTGGTATCTGGGAGTAGTTCTGTTGCTATCGAGGCTGGTTATGGAGGGTGTATTCTCTGAACTCTGGGCGGCATTCCATGAACTCTTATATCCCACCGTCACCTGGCCATCTCATATTGGATTGCATGGTTATTGGTGATCTGCCTAGCTTGCAACATGAAAGAAAAAGACACAGCTCTCAGGCAACAAGGTCATTGTTTGGTTGTCCATGCGTTGTCCACCTCCTGAGAGGTGCAGAGTTCTGAAGAACAAAGACTTTGAAGATGACCATGTTCCAAAACGCGAACGCAAAACCAAGACGTTCCCATAGTATTTTCTGTTCTCAATTTATTCTGGAACTGAACAGACCGTGTTCCTTATTGGCGTCAAGTATCAAGAACAACCTACCAGAGGTATAATAATCAGTCTTGTCATTAGCCAGTCTCCTTACTACTTCCTCACCTGACTATCGACCTTACAACATATCTCTCTGGACACTATTCGGAGAGACAAACAAGCCACCACAAGCAACTTTCCACAAACCCATCATCATCATGGCCTTGGAGTGGTTCAGTCAGCTTTTCCCCTGCTTCTCTGTCCGACGGGTCCACGATTCAGTCGACGTCCCTGATGTCGCGCCAGAGACCAGGTCCGTCTCGGGGAGATCTCTTTCCTCAGAGCGACGGTATGTCACTGAAAGAAAGCCTTCCATAGAGAGGCAGTACAGCGAACGCAGAAAGTATCTCGAAAGGAGACTATCCTTGGAAAGTCAACCGCCCAAGGGACACGAGGAGACCCTCTCCTGGCTCGACAACGGCAACGACTCTGGAGTCATCGCCGCCCGGGATGCGGCCGACCGTGAGATGAGATATTCCATCCCGAGCAACGGTAGCGAGATCTCGTACGGCGCAACACAGGCGATCAGAATCCAGAGGGACTTTGACAGGGACGAAAACGGCTTGGATCTCTTCGCTGTCGGAACCCCTGGCAGCACGCCCTTCACGCCCGACTTTTCTCCTGCTCCTCCTACCAAGGAGATCCCTATCCGACGAAGAAGCCGGTTTTCTCGGGAACCGTCTTCGCTCGACATCACCCGTTTCGATCGCTCGCCCCCTTCCTCCACCGTGTCGTCCCCCTCTGGTGTGAGTCGGACGGATCACTGGAGGCACCTCGACCTTCCATATGCTGGTGCTGTCTGGCCTTTGGATGCGGGCTATGAAAGCTTTAGCGAACGCATCAATGCCCTAAGCCTCGCAGTGCCTAAGAAGAACCAAGAGGCTGAAGAGGACATTGACTGGAAGCGAGGCAACGTCAACAGCCAACGCCCCGTGCTCCACATCGACACTGAGTTGGCCCCCATGGTTCGACCCAGAGTCGCTTTGGTTGAGTCTCCCTCTGAGAATGGGAGCCAGGCGCACAAGTTGCCTGAGATGCCTCCCATTGTCCCTCCCTATAATAACGGGAGCCAGGAGGACGATTCGCCCAAGTTAACTCCCGTCCTTAACCTTGCCTCTGAAACGAGAAGAGACTTGGGCCATGACAGCAGTAGCAGTCTCGATGGTCGGGCTGAGTCGCCTTCTGCCCCTGTTAAGGATCCTGGCATTGGGAGCATGACCAGCGATGGCGATAACAGGCATGATGAGCATCCCGAGTCTCCTGTTATCGACAAGTTGGGCGATGACAACGACGTCAACCCCGATGCACCTGCTGATTCGCCTACTAGTACCAAAACCGATTCTACTACCATTGAAGGGTTAATCGAGGACATCAACGGCTTCCTTGATGGCATTGCAGCGTCATGTGCCCTTATCTCTGATGCCCCTCAGGCTGACAGATTGGCCGACGACAGCAACAGTCAGGTTGAAGTACCTTCAGAGCCAGCTCCACCATCCCCGATGGTAAGTGTGGTAACTGAAACGAAACGGGTTGAAGGGGATTATTGGGATATTGATTCTGACATGTCCTTTGACGTTGAGAGTGACGGCTCTTCTGAGAGCGGTTACGTGAGGCGCAGGACCTGGACGGACCCTAAGTTGACAAGATATATCCGAGATGAATGAATGAATGTTGCAAAATTGCAGTATCCTCGTACTGTTTTCCGAGTCAGTGTTTCTTAGAGTAGGTTGTTGACCTCATGGATTGACGTTATCAACGTCCTCAGGTACCCATTCGTGGGCTGGTATCTCATATCATAAATAGACAAGAGAATCATGTTTTTCTTTTTGGGTATCTCACTAGGCAAGCTTTGCTTCCCTCGCCGTGCCATTGAACTCATCATACATGTGCCCAACCACGGGCTACAAGAACCTGCATCTCGTTAATCAAGCAAAACTCACCCGGCTCCCTTCTTCCCAGGCCCTCCTTCTCCCATTTTGTGATACGTCTCCTCACCACCCACTTCTCAAACGTCACCACCGTCCAGCGCTTTAGCCGGTTGATCCAGAGGCCGGAAAAGATGTCCCATACTGACACCCAGGCTCCTTCTTCGGGGTGCACGGCCTGGTAGGCGGCCATGTTGTAGCCCACTCGCACACGGGGGTTAAGGTAGACGCCGCGAGTCTTTGAGAGTGGGTTGTCAGCGTGGATGAGGCAGCACTCGGATCCTTCGAGGTGATGCTCAGCAAGTGAGTCTGCAACTCCACGGAAACGGAGCTTGGAGGACGAAACAAAGGGTTCGGCAGGCATAACGACTATGCCGGTCAGCATATAAACCACCGTGAAGAACACTGTACTAACCAATCCCGTTCCAGCAGCTCGTCACTGGCACGGCGTCTAGATGATTAACCAGAGCGTTCCTCGATGCGCTGCTTTTGAAGTAGGGCCATGACTGTGTGGTATGTGACTGGCCGGCAGCATCTCTTAGAGCAAATGTGTCGTAGTAACTCGGTGGTTTGGAAAAGTCGAGGGAGCAAGCAGCAGCGTAGTCGCCCCCATTGGTGTCGAGAAGCTTGAGGACGTCGTCGGTCTATCCAGTCGCAAAGAGTGAGAAGCCATTGCGGAAGACCATCAACTGGAGCAAACATACCGTAAAGACCACGTCGTTGAGGAAGAGGACCTTGTCAAAGCGCGTGCCCTTCTTGTGCAGTTCAAGCAGGTCACGGAGCGTCTTGTTCCTCAGCTTGGCAAGGTATGGTATCCTCCTCAGCTCCCTCTTCCCCCTCGCAGTGTCAATCCACCCCTCATCTTTATTCTCGGCGTTGAGTTCGTTCTCGTGCGTGACATCTGACACCTCCACGCGATGCGGTACGCCCAGTCGTTCCAGCTCTTTGTCGAGCTTGAGCAGCTCGGCCTTGCTATTATCCCAGCTCCCGCTCTCGTAGACGCTCACAAAGACATTCTCAGGATGCAGCGTCTTTGCAAGCTCTATGACGGCATTATTCCAATGCTTCTTCAGAATGTCCTCGTTGTTAAAGTGCATGCTCGCAATGTAGATGCGCTCTGCGGGCTGCGAGAGCTTGGGGGTGGGCGTGCGGTCGGCATCGAGGATGTTTCGGTGGATTCGGAGGACGTCGAGGATGTTGACGACGACGAGAAGGACGAGGAGGATCTTTGTGGTTCGAGAGCGGAGGAGGCGGCGCAGGAAGAGACGGTTCCCATGTGAGATCATGATTCCTTGAAGGGGACGAAAGCTCGATTGCGAGGAGGACAGCAAGGCGGCATCGGCATCGGCATCATAGGGAGAGTTCCAGCCACGTTCTACACTAGTGGAACTTCCTGGACGGTCAGCCCGAGTAAGCATTGAAATCGAGTACTCATGTGAAACGTAGGTGAAGGGCGGGAGTAATCATGTTTGCCAGCAGCGTTCCAACTCGAGCTTTGACATGGGGAGATCAGCAAAGTCAGCGGCGGCCATCCCGTCCCTCTGCTCCTTGCATTCCACCTATCTTCCAAACACGTGTGGGGGAACGAGGCTTAGACGACACATGTCGGCTACTTAGCGCGCGTCTTTATCAAAACCACGCCGTAAATTGACATGAATGGAAAGTCTGGGGGGTCCATTGGGTCTAATACGAACCTTACTTAGGGATTCTCTTAACGAGATGTGGTAATGGGGCCAGAGCTTGGCAAGCTCTCCACAAAGCCTCAAGGGGCACCTTGAGAGGCCTTGAAAGAAGGATGGAGCTGACCATTGATCAATTAACTGATTCAAAGTCTAGTTTTACTGGGCGAGCAAGTACAGGGCTGTGTATTGTAGGTATTTTACTAGACAGTAAATCATAAGCTACGAGATGTTTCCATGGCATTCGCATCCGAGAGCTAGTCCTCGTAGTAATATCATGGATTGATGCTCCCACTGCACGGAAACCGCCGCTTAGTTAAGACAGTCTCCTGTAGGAGTGACAGGTAACTTGGCAGCAAAGCACAACTGTTTGACTGACATTTGTCTTGGCTAATCATAACACAGCCTTCAGGTGTGACGCGGCTGTTAGTAGGGAGTTGAAAGCAAACATAACGCGCCAAGTACTAGGACGACTCCGGAAGCATCGGTAATCGGCAAATCATTTGCGGGGGCCCCCATCAGGGATCCTCACCTGTGAACCCCCTGGATTTCACCAACATTGTGCTGTACACAGCCTCGGTATTGATTGGCAGCGAGATTATGACAGAGTCGGTAACGTTTCACCTTCCTAATGTTGTGCCAGTTGCATAGAGGTTGTCCTAGCTGGCGGATCTAGATCCTTGGCTGATGTAAATTCACCGGTCCTACCGCCAGCTACAGCATCTATGTGGGCTAATATGCAGCCGACTAGCTCAAATCCTTATACTTGTTTTAGTTAATCTGAAACCTCGAGTGACTCGAGAGCTTCATACGCTTGCAAACACGACACAATCAGTTGAGATACTCAAGTAAATTAGCAACTAGCTTCTCTATACTCCCTCTTCCACCTTTTCGTCATATCAAGAGAGATTGCTTCGTCAGGTATGTTACATTCCTCCCCAGAACCCCTGATCTGTCCCGAGACCTTGTCATGTGTCAAGGTGGGATTGCATAAACCCCTTGAGGAGCAGTCATATATTCCTACACTTCAACATCGGCTTTTCAAGACGCTTCAAATCTTCAACAAGTCGATCAACCTGCTTGCGCAACCATCTATTTGGCAAAGTGCAGGTCGTAGCCGAGCCACTTCCTTCGGAGAATCTGCTCAACCGACAGGCCAGGGTAGCCATAGGTCAGGGGAAGGAAGAAGTACCAGCCCGCAATGATAATAGCAAGCACAACACCACAAGCGATCCAGGCACTAAGCATGCTCTGGCCAGCGAATCGCTCTCGGGCGGTGACGTGGTGCTTGGGGCTAGGGGTGACCTTCTTGTCCTTGATAGTCAGCTCCTCAGCAGGCTCCGAGTTGAAGATGAACTCAAGGAGAGCACCGGCGACGAGACAAGAGGCTAGGTGGGCTGGAAGATAATGATGCAAGAAAAGCTGACGTCCCATGAGGTAGAACGGGAAGTAGTGAGTGGCCCACGCGAGGAAGAAGAATCCAGTCGAGTTGTACAGGCGGGAACGAGTGCCTAAAGGGCTATTAGTATACGAACATCATCGGAGTTTTGATTCACTTACGGTGGTCCAGGGCATCAATGCCGCGGCGCAGAGACACCTGATCAGCAAGGATGATGCCAGCATAGACAGCAAGAAGACTGCTCGCGAGCCACCAGCCGAAGGGGTTGCCCAGGAAGTAGATCTGCTGACGGGTCTCGCCCTGAGTCCAGAAGCTGACACCGCGGAGTAGGAAAGGCCACTGGTAAGGGTGGCTCGAGTAGGGGTGGCTGCTGGTAAGCTTGCTGTTGTGGTAGAACATGGCACGCTGGAGCTCGAACCACTTCTGGAGGAAGGGCAGCTGCTTGACCTTGCGCTCAGGCTTCTGTCGGCGAGGGTGGTCGGCAGGCAGCGAGGGAATATCCTCAACGATCCAGACGTTGGAGCTGGGCGCAATCTGCTTGTTGCCATTGATCTCCTGCTGCTTGTATCCCCACTCAGGCAGAGGCTTGGTGTGAGTCCACATGGCGACCTTGCTTGGGTTGTGGATGAACTTGAAGTGACCCGAGACGGACTTGAAGTTCTGGTTCTTCTTGCCATGCTCAATTCGGACCTCGAAGAGAGTGTCGTTCTGGCGCTTGCCATAGGCATCCTCGATCGAGACAGCAGTGAACTCCTGGTTGGTGGGGTAGTAGGGCGAGGCGACATCGTGAGAGAGCAGGATCTTGTCGGTACCAATGTGCCTCAAGCGGACGAGGTCGTGGTTCTTGACGGTGCGACCCAGCTTCTTGTCGTCGTTCATGGGTAGGATCTCCCAGTAGTTGTTGGTGTCGTTGTAGGGGTAACCGGTGATCTGCTGGCCCTGGCTGGAGACACGGCCATCGTCGTAGCGAAGAGGGTATTTGTCCTCGTGGCTGTGGAGGTAGGTCTTGGTCTCCTTGTGGCGAATGCTGATGCTGTCGTAGTACTGGATGTCAATGGAGTTGGCCAGCATGACGTTGTCGCTGAGGGTCTCCTGGAACTCGGGGGTCATGAAGTCGTCACCGGGGCCGGAGCGGTTAAGGACGGCGAAGTGGACCTGGAACCAGAAGAGGTAGAACAGGAAGGGCATGATGATCAGACCGAAGGCTCGGGCAGCAAAGTGCTTGGCGAACTCTTGAAGGCTGATAGCGCCATTGGGTCGGTTGATGTTGAGCAGGTCCCAGAGGTCAATGATGACAGCAGAGCCAATGGTGACAAAGGCGAAGAGACCAACGTACTTGACCGAAATATCGCAGGACAGGGCGAATCCGGTCAGGATGAGCCACTTCCACCACTTCCTGGAGAAGGGCTCATGTCGGAGCTTGTACCACTTGATGTAGAAGAGCAGACTGCAGGCCATGGCGAGGACGAGGGTAGCGTCCAGGAGGATGAGACGGGTCTGGCCAATGTGGGCATTGTCAAGAAGGATCAGACCGGCGGCGAGAATGCAGGCGGGAAGACTGTATCCAGACTCCCACATGATGAGGTAGGTGACGGAGACAGTCAGGGCACCGAGGATGGCGGGCAGAGCTCGGAAGGCCACGTAAGGGACCTTGTTGGCAATGTAGGAGTCGCCAATGTTCTCGAAGTGAAAGTGACCATCGTAGCCGACCAGCCAGCCCATAAAGGCGAAGAGAAGCTTTCCAAAGGGAGGGTGGACATCGAAAAAGTAGGTTCGCTCGAGGTAGTAGGAAGCAAACTGCGAGTCGATTGGTTAGCCATTGCGCGTTAGGCGATAGGTAATAATGCCAACTTACCTTTCCAAAGTGCACCTCGTCAAAGACGACCTCGTTGGGGTGGCTAATACCCCAGAATCGAGTGACAAAGGCCAGAATGGTGATGATGGCGAGGCCAATCTTGTACTCGCCCTCGCCCTTGCCAGCTCTCTGGGCACCAGCCTTTGCAAGCTTGTCAAGCTCAGTATCGGGGTTGAAAGTATCATCAGAAACCTTCTTGGACGCAGTGCCCCTCTGTCGCAGGCTGCCCTGCGGCGTGGAGCTGCGAGCCATGATGGGAGTCGACCGTGAAGCGCAGGCTATGATGAAGCACAGCTGTCAGTAAGGGTTGCTTCCTGGGAAATTTAAAGAGAAGGTTCCGACGCGAAAACTCGAAGGCTTGTCGCAATGGGCTTACGCAGCCTCGCGACAGGGTCTCACAAGCCGCAACAAGGAACGATAAGTCTCAGAACTTACCTTAGGGGTGATGGAGGAGGCTCAGAGGCCAGGTATAACCAGCAAACAGCAGTGGGCAAAGGAAGATAAAACAAAGGAGCGGATAGAAGGACAGATTGAAGAGGCAAACGCACAGAAAAGAATTGCGCGCCTCAAGAAGAAGAAAAAGAATGGTTAGAAAAAGGGGTAGATGGAGACCTCCCTTTGCAGAAGCAATGGATTGGAGTTGAAGAGTTCCTGGCGATGAGCTGAGCTGAGCTGCCGTCGAGGACAACCTGGCCACCTAGCTTCCCTTTTTTTCCTTGTGACTTGGCCCGCTGTGATGGGATGCAGGGGGTGAAGGCTTGCCCCGCTTATGTTATTCTACCAGCTGTCTGACAGCTTCTCACACTAACAGGTGCTCCAGCATCCACTGGGACGCCCTAGCTGTCTGGGCAGAGGCGCTATCGACTGGAGCCGACAAAGGGGACCAATTAGATGATCTACCCCACGGCTCATCGTTTACTGGACGATCGAGCAGGGCTGAATGCTATCACTACCATAGATTGGGGGTTGTAACACCAATAAGATAGAGAAAGAGGAATGTGACCATGGTGGGACTGCTAAAACCAGTGCAAAATGCAGACTTCCCTTTGGACAGGGCATTGTCACCTTAACATGGCTCTATCAAGGTGTGCGTAACCATGAGCTGATCCCGACTTGAAGACGACGCTTATCGATAAGAGCCGTGTAAGACGATTCTCATGGCGGTGATGCAGACACCCATGCTGCAGCTTGCAAAATAGAATAATTGATTTGATTTAATTGTCTTGATCGCCTTCTATTGAGTATTTATTTGCAGCTTGTTATAATTCTGGTGATTGTCCTTTTTATTGGGGTTTGGTGTGGGCATTAATGCTCTATCAGTAGCTTCAAGTTGAGCAACTGCCCAAGAACACGTTGACTTCCTACACATACCCCGAAAGACCTGCATCCCATATCGTCTACATCTATCTCTAATGATTCGATCAGCATTTCCTCAAAGCATAGAACCATCAATTCCATCAAGGAAATTGTACGTAATCCCCCGAACCGCGGGACCCCTCCGGCCCTGGCCGCCGTCTCCGGAGGGCGCGTTGCGGGGCAAACCCAACCCTCTCACCCCAGACACGTCGACAGTTAGCCGATCAACGGAGCCCAGGACCGCCCAGTTAACTGATCCCATGTACCTACACGTGTAATGCGCTTGTAAAGAGAGAGCGCGCTCTCCATGGTTAGCCCAGGCGTAGCCGCCGTTTTCCACCGGCTTCCACCCTCCGACGAATTGGAGGCGGCGTGATCGGATGCCCCTCCGAGCTGCCGGAGCTTTGGTCGAATATAAGGCCCCTCGTCCCTCCCGCTTTAAAGCTTGCTCCGATCTTTTGACGCAACCAAAAAAAGGAACTTGACATCTTTCAATCACATATCAAACATCTTCTCTCTCTTCAGGTAGGTAGTTTCTTACCGCATCCAATGCTGCCTTCTCTCGCCGCGCGCCGAGCTCCCCGCTTTGTCGCTTCTTCTCTCAGAGCTGCCGCCCCGCGTCTTGTTCTCCCTCCCGCTGTATCAGAGGCAGCCAGGTTCACACGTTCGATTAGACACCAATCCACCATGTCCGACCAGCAGATCATCTTCACCAAGAACGCCCCTGCGGGTAAGTATTCATTTTTCACCTGAATGTCGTAGAAAAACCGCTGACGGATCCTCAATTAGCTGTTGGTCCTTACGTATGGCTCCCAGAGCTACCCCTCATTCATGCTATCAGTGTATTGACCTTCAACAGTCCCAGGCCATCAAGACCCCCAACATGATCTACTGCTCTGGCCAGATCCCTCTTACCCCTGAGGGTGAGCTCGTTGAGGGTTCCATCACCGCCCAGACCGAGCAGGCCTGCAAGAACGCCAAGGCTGTTCTCGAGGAGGCTGGCTCCGAGCTCGCCAAGGTCGTCAAGACCACCATCTTCATCTCTGACATGGCTCACTTTGCTGTATGAGTCCCTCATGCCATGTAAAAGCATCTTAAAGACTAATTGGTGTTATAGGAGCTCAACGCTGAGTACGAGAAGTGGTTCTCCCACAAGCCTGCTCGCAGCTGCGTTGCCGTCAAGACTCTCCCCAAGAACGTCGATGTTGAGATTGAGGTCATTGCCCTCCCTTAAAAACTACCTTTGACTAAAATTTAGAATATAAAAAAAGTCAATCAAAGAGAAGATCAAATCTATCATGTTTCCTCCCAGCTACTGATCATGTGCTCGCTACCAACACCCTGACTCAAAACGCCCCGACAGACAAATCAAAAGACTCCAACTCAGTCAAGAGAACCCAGGAACTAGTAATTCAACTGGGTACTCGCCGAAAAGAAAGAGCCAAATTCTCCACCTCCTCACGCTTATCCAGATACTCCAGTCTTTCACAGAATGCCATTCCAGCCTCGAGGATGTTTCTCGCGTCCGCCTTGTGGAGGTCGCCTCGCTCCAAGACAATATCAAAGGCCCTCGCGATATCCTCCGCCGTCGTGTTGACCACACTCATGCCATCTAGCGCTCTGGACACCGATTCTGGTGATAGCATCTGCAACGCATTCCCCCTGGCCCAGAGGATAGAGCAGATGCCGGCCGTGTTGGTCCTCAAAGAAGCCGTCGCGTGCGTGCTTCTGTAGAGAGTCCGTGCCGTCTCGTCGAATATAGACACACGGCCTGGAAAACGACGAGTCTCATTTTGCTGAAACTCTGAGAGCCGCTGCTCAATGTTGTACCGGAAATTCTCGATGAAATCTTGACTGACTCCAAGACAGATATCGTGTACTTGTCGGGCGGCAAAGCATCGGAATTCTGGGTCGTTGAGGGCGTGGGCAACGTGTTCAGGCACGCTGTCCTCACTGAATAGGGACGTCACGGCGTGAGTATCGTCTCGTTCAGATGATTGATCATAAGGGGTGACATCTCGAGAATGAGGCCCCCCCGCCATATGAGCTTCTCGTGGGATGGCGTTCGCGAATGGTCCGTAGTCATGGTGTTGAGATGGGGAGAATCGATCGTAGTATTCGGGCGAGTCAGGCCAATCTTCTGAAGGTTGAGTAGAAGACAGATAGCTGCTCAGATCCGTGTTGTCGTCTGTCGGTTCGGACATAGACCGGTTTCGCCCGTAGATGAATCGGCTGGGGGATTCAGGAGAAGACATGGTGGTGGGTGAGGCTTGAGCTATGAGAAGAAGTTGGAGGAGTTAAATTTCTCTCCAGTGATATGTTTATATATTTATATGCAGTATACAAGGCAGATAAAACACCAAAAAAGACCTTTGGCACATGCGACAGAGGTCTGACACAAGGCACTCATTTGAGAACATGACCAGTTTTTATCGGTGTGAATCTTGATGGTTCTACATGTCTTTGTCATTGGCAATCTACCCCCTGGACAATTTAAGCAGCCCAGACCACGACCCTACCATCAACGCCGCTTGCTAAAGTCTTTGTTAGCCTTTTTCTGATATATGACAATGAATGACTTTGTGACTTACTGCTGAACTTGGTCACACGCTCTCCATCAGTGTCGAAAGGTCGAACGGTGCTAATGGTGTTTTGGTGGACCGTCTTGAGCTGAGTGTCGTCCTTGGCCTTGCCCTTCAGATCCATCTGTCGGAACATGTTAAGGGCAGACTCCTCGCGGTGCTCACCCAAGCTGGGGCGGCCCTTTGTCTCGATGGTACCAGCCAGCTGCCAACCACCCTCACCTCCCTGGAAGCGGAAGGCCTCGCAGTCATAACCGGCAGCAATGATCTCGTCCTCACTGGTCCAGATCAGACTCTTGAAAGGCAGCTGTTGAGTCGTGACAGTGACAACAGCGCGGGGAGGTTGCTCAGGTCCAGAGGGATACACAACCGTGATGCTGCTGTCGTGAGCAGCAAAGGCAAGGCTATCACCGCTAGGGGAGAACGAAACCGAGTGAACCCAGCCAGCAGAGTTGTTAAGGTACTCTCCACAGACAGTGTTGAATGGGAGTCGCTCGCCCCAAACTCCGGGAGCAGGACGGGCGTCCATCCCCTTGATGAAGGCGGAAAAGACTCTGGCGTGGGCATCGGTGGAGCCGGCGGCAAGGAGGACCGAGTTCGGGTGCCAGGCAACGCTCGTGATGGTGCTGCGAATGGGCTTCTTGAGATGCTTGGAAACCCACCAGTCGTTCTCCTCCTCAAAGTAGCAGACGGCGATGACGCGGTCGCCGGAGCCGACGGCGAACTTGGTCTCGGACGGCGACCAGCGCACAAACGTGGCAGCTCTGCTGATTCGGAGCAGAACGAGAGTCGGCTTGTAACCGGTAGGAGAGGGCTCCCAGACCAGGGCGTTACGGTCTATGCGACATGTCGTGTTAGCGTCATGAACAGCGTTGTCGGTATAGGGGTAGCTGCGCATTCATACCCTGAGAGCAGGTCACAATGCGCCCGCTGTTGGGAGCAATGTCGACACTCGTGACAGTTTTGTCGTGGCCCTTGAGCTCATCCTTCAGCTTGTAGGCATTGCCGACCTTGCCGTAAAGCTCAACAGCGGTGTCGCGAGCGACGGCGAGGACGGAATGATCAGCCGAGAACGAGTGGTCGGCGATGGGGTTGTGGAAGAGGTGGTGAACTTCGGGAGCGGCCATGGTGAAGGTATTGGCGATAGGAGTAGCTCTCTACTATCGCTTTCGAGTCGATTGAGAGAATGAGAGAGACAAGAAGAGGTTGGTTAGGCGCTGACGATAGATGCTGGCTGGGTAGGTTGCGCTGGCTGGATGGCTAGTGGGGGTGGGGGGTTACGTAGGAGCTCCAGCAAGCTTGGGCCACAGCGCCCGACGGCAGCGCCTCATGGACGAGGCTGGCAATTCGTCGTGCGGCGAAAAATCTCCATCCCGCTACTACACCACCGCCAATATTAGTACTCTCGATCCTGGCGCGCCCGCGCATTCTCATACGATTTTGGCTTATGGACTGTTAAGGAGGACTTATAATATCGATCACAAGCGCATAAATATCGAACCAAGACTTCGGTCCTTCCGCCATCCGTCACAATGGCCGCCACAGCTTCTCGTGCTCTCCAGCCCAACTCCTCCTTGCCGGCCAAGGTGCAGCCTATTCCTCCGAACCAGACGTCAGTTCCCCTCGATATATCTCTAATTACTGCGTATTGACTGTTGCAGTCTCTATGTCACAAACCTCCCGTCCTCGAAAATCCAGAAAGCCGATCTGCGAACGGCCTTGTACATGTTGTTTTCCACATACGGTCCTGTACTAGATGTTGTCGCCCTCAAGACGATGGCGATGCGTGGCCAAGCCCATATCGTGTTCCGAGATATACAAGCAGCCACACAGGCCATGAGGTCCCTCGAAGGACAGACGTTCCTGGGCCGCGAGTTGGTTGGTCTCCTCCTTTGTCGGTGTCGCTTACACAGTAGCTCTAACGCGCTGCTCTCTAGAAAATCCAATACGCCAAGTCGAAATCGAACTTTGTGGCCAAGCTCGACGGCACCTTCAAGATTCCTTCCACAAATGCAGGCGCTGCCAATGTCGAGCAGACCGAACTCCAACAGAGCATCTTCAACGCCCCTCTTCCTGGATCAGCACCCGCTGGCCTCCCTGCTAAGCCCGCCGCGAATGTCGACCATGTGATGAAGGATGTTGGAAGCCCCGGGAGCCGTGGCCAGAAGCGAACACGCGACGACGAGGACAGTGACTCGGACGTGGCTATGGAGGAGGACAGCGATGATGATTAATGATGCGTATGAATGGTCGGCTACATCGATGAGAGAGAAAACCGCGTCAAACGACCGAGAAAATCGCCTCATTGAATCGCCATTTCTTTGGGCACCCACAGGCCCACGCAGCCTCCCACCAGTCCGATCCATATCATCAGGTAGTTTGTCCTGTCGCACTCGAATTTGGAGATGGCATCCCCGAGCAAGCAGGGGTGGACAAAGAAGGACGGGACACCCGTGACAGGGTGATGCTGCGAGCAAGGTGTTAGTTAGGCCAACCGATCTTGACGATACCCAGGATTTTTGAATTGACTTGTGTAAACAGCTCTCTCTCTCGTCTCCATACTCACATCGGCCGAGATGCCTCCAACTGCTCCGAGCGCGCGGAGGCCTGCCTTGTACTCATCGGGAACAAGGCGGCGGAAGACGGTGTCAATATTGAATGCGGGCTCATCTGGGGGTAGATTGCGCAAAGTGAACCACAGACAGGGCACGCGATACGTAGGATGAAGATGAATCTCGTATTCCACCAGGCCAACATCTGGGCGAGATTGGGGCTTCACAATAGCGGCCTGGAACTTCGTAAGACAACGGTCTAAGTAAAAGACAACTCCACCGAGGATTTATTACCTCGTCAGCCTCTTCTGCGTCCATCATGTCTCTGTCTCCACCTGGTACATCATGGCTCTTTTCATCGGAGAAGGAGAAGTTTTCCAAGTCTAGCGAGAGATCCCTGTGATCTAGATCTGTCTGTAGCGGGCGTCTGATCTGGATATATGCCGTATAACCCCCCTCAAAGGAGAAGTCGGTGCAGAGAGCAGTGCATAACTTGAGCTTCCAACGTGCCCTCTCCGGACCCAACTTAGCATGGCAGTACTGGCTCTCCAGGTGATGGCATGCCTCTGTAAACTCGTCCGGGCTCAGTGAAGGAAAGTTTGCGATACTCATGGTCGTATCCTTCTCCCGAGAAAATCAGCGCCTTGTTTAATCGACAGGCCTCAAGTTGGTTCATGTCCATCAAAGTTGTGGACTGGCGCTTGACGACCCAATAAAATCGCGGGTCCTTTACACGCAATGGACGACAAAAGGGTTCAGGTTACAGGGGCCGCAAGCTCAGGGCAGACGCGGTCCAGAGCTCCCCGGTGCATTGATGAGTTTCGGCGGGGGCGGCGGTGGTCGTCATGGATGGAGAACAGGCTACGTTACGGAGTGGATGGCGGCTGTGGTCTCGTGCTTCCCGGTCGCCAAGTCCCCAAGGTCGCTTTTATTCGAAGTGACATTCTGTCCTCGTGTTTCCGGGGCCGGACCTACTACTATTGTATCTGCTGTACCTACAAACTCAACTCCTTTTTTTGCATCCATGTTCCGTCTTTGACTTTGGCTGTTTGCAGTCTTGTACATCAAAACTTTGTTTATTATTTGCATTTTATCCATTCCGGCCAAGTATTTATTAATTGCATCAACTACAACAACACCACGAACCATCCATCCCGAAATGACCAGCTCAAGTCAATGATCCGCGACCCTTTCAACATCCGAAGCAACAGCGCCTTCAACCGTCCTCATCCTCGAAACGTCCCGAACCAACAAGAATCGGCATCGCTGGCCGTCGCCCATGATTTAGCGATGGCCTTTTCCATACCCAAGAACGTACCCTCCTTCGAAAACCGGCATCGAGATCTCGAGGACAGATTCTGGGGCTCCGGCGCAAGCTCCAACAAGGGGTTGCCCATGTACAAGGACAAGCCATATGGCTATTCGCGGTACGAGCAAAGACGACCGCTATGGAAGCGCAAGAGGGTGATAGGTTTCCTTACCTTTATCGTCTTGACGTTACTATACTGGACCGGTTCTTCGTCCAAGAAACGACAATCCCAGAAGAGCACCGTACCGACCGACTGGAGCTACTCAGGCTTGTCTCAAGATGATAAAAAGGCCAATTGGGACCATAGGAGAGACCGTGTCGTGGAGGCGTTCGAGCTGAGCTGGGACGCCTACCGACGATATGCATGGGGTGCGTCCAGATCCTCAGCTCTTGAGACAGAGTATGCATGCTAACATGGGACCCGGATAGGTTATGACGAGTACCACCCTGTCACCAAGAGGGGCGACAACATGGCGCCCAAGGGATTGGGTTGGATCATAATTGATGCCCTCGATACAATGATTCTGATGAACCTGACATCCCGAGTGCAAGATGCTCGTGGGTGGATTTCAGAATCATTAACATGGGACCAGGATCAGGATGTCAACACCTTTGAGACAACCATCCGCATGATGGGTGGCTTGCTCAGTGCGCACTACCTGTCCAACGAATTCCCACATCTCGCCCCCTTGGCCGAGGACGACGAAGGTGCGGCTGGAGAGGATCTCTACCTCGAAAAGGCAAAGGATTTGGCCGACCGTCTTATGAGTGCCTTCGACTCCCCCTCTGGTGTTCCTTATGCAAGCGTCAACTTGCACAAGTACGAGGGTATCCCATCCCATGCCGATGCGGGAGCGTCGTCTACTGCCGAGGCCACAACTGTTCAGCTCGAGTTTAAGTATCTTGCTAAGCTCACAGGAGAAAAGGACTTTTGGGACCGGGCCGAGAAGGTGATGCAGGTGGTTGATGACAATGGTGCTCAAGACGGCCTTGTCCCCATCTACGTCTACGCTACCACGGGCGAGTTCAAGGGCAAAAATATCCGGCTCGGTAGCCGTGGCGACTCATACTACGAGTATCTCATCAAGCAATATCTCCAGACGAATAAGCAAGAGCCCATTTATGAAGATATGTGGGACGAGGCACTCAGGGGTGTCCGCAAGCACTTGGTGACATACACCAAGAACTCACAGTTTACGATTATCGGAGAGCGACCCACTGGACTGGACAGAGCCCTCAGCCCCAAGATGGATCACCTCGTTTGCTTCATGCCTGGAACAATGGCACTTGGAGCTACTGGAGGTCTGACTGAGGCTGAGGCCCGAAAGCTGCCTACATGGTCCAAGAAGAACGAAGAGGATATCAAGCTCGCACGCGAGATCATGGAGACTTGCTGGGGAATGTACAAGTTCACCGAGACAGGGCTGTCGGCCGAGATCACCTATTTCGAAATCGACAACCCGCCGCAACCCTTTGGCAGCCCCCGTCAGAGCCCGGCGGTGTTTGACCCAGCCCCTGACGCTGAATGGCGCAGCGACTTTATCGTCAAAAATGGAGACGCCCACAACCTCCAGCGCCCAGAGACGGTCGAGAGTCTGTTCTACATGTGGAGAATCACAAACGACATCAAGTACCGAGAATGGGGATGGGAGATGTTCAAGTCTTTCATGAACCACACGGCCGTGAGGAACGGGGGAGGCTTTACGAGCCTGCGAGACGCCAACGTTGTGCCGCCCAAGGTTCGAGATAACATGGAGAGCTTCTGGCTGGTAAGTGACGAGCCGCAAATATTCAGAGATGAAGCCACTGACACCGTAACAGGCCGAGACGCTGAAATACTTCTACCTGTTGTTCTCACCCCCCGATCTCCTGCCTCTGGACAAGGTCGTGATCAACACTGAGGGCCACCCGTTCCCCAGATTTGATCTACCAACGCTGTTCTCGACAGGCTGGAAGCGAAAGCCAAGAGACGCATCTGGTCAGATTATTAAGCCCGTAAGCGCAGACACGGGTTCCGAAGAAAAGGTAATCACAGAGGAGAAGAAGAGCACCTGATTATCTGGTAGCAACTTGACGTGATAGGAGCCAAGGGATTTGGGGCTGTGTTGGCATAGTATTCATTGGGAAGCGAGTCTTGGCTGCACATAAGCTGATTGGACATGGCATGTTACTCATACAGTAGAACAAAGGCGGGATTTGGACAGTACGTAGCGTCACTCGTGAATACAGTACCGAAAGCATCATCTATCGAGTTAGTACCTGAACCTTGCGGCAGCCACACATGTGCGTGGCTAACGAACCGTTGCTTCATCAGTTTGGGGCTGCCATGTTTGTTCAAGATGGAGTGGACCAGGTTGCCACGATCTGTTGAGCGGCTCGTGCACGTTGAAGAACAAGGACCTCGATACAACTGGGCTCCGCTTCCCCGTCTTTGGGGCAGATTGGATTGCATGTGATCAATTCTCAGATTAGAGAGGTCGGTTCTGGACGAAACGCATCGTCGAGCAAGAGCCAAGAGGATAGGCAGCCCTGAAAGGCCAAGTGTAGCATGATCCCTGGCAAGGAGGCGCTGGGGATGGATGCTGGCTGGTCACAGCTCTGGGGCACGCAACACTTTTTGTTCTTGTCGACGTGGGATAAGGAGGTTGCCAAGCTTCGAAATGGGTCGGAACCGAGAGAGAGGGAGGGGGGGAGGACGCCGGTACCCGAGGATCTCGAGTGTTTTCTCGGATAGACGCAATTGGCGAGGATTCGTGGGAGGGTGTGGCACGCGATGGGCTGGGCTGAATCGAGGCGACAGAGCGGTAAGGATCCTGGAGGAGGACGCCAAAAGTCAATGAATGCACCTGCTGTAGATGGTCTGGCCTGGGCGGGCGGTCGGGCAGGGGTCCTTTCTGGTGGTGGTGTTAATGGCCGCTGGGTGATGGACGGGGGGTCGTATTGATCGACGGGAGCTTTGGTGGGTTGACCGTTGGTAGTTGACACGAATATGCCCACGCTCACGAGACATTCGAGAGGGCATTCGCATTCATCCTTTTGTCCTGTCCTTCAATGACGCTGCGTACCTGTACTGTACCGTACCGTACCGAGTCTCATCCACTCTCCTGACTCTTATCTCTCCCGTCGTGCAACACCTGGGTCCATGCTGGGCTAACGAAACTGGGCTCAAAAAAGACATGGGCCTGGACCACACAAGCCTAGGAGCCTGGTCCAAGTGGTCTTCAGCGGCCCCCCCGCGCAAAGATAGCGCTCTCCCCACCGAAGTGAGATTGGCCAACTGGTGACGGTGCAAGGAATCTCGAGGATGGATCCGTGGACGGATACAGCATGATGGCTGTTTGACAGCTGGGCCTTGGGATTGATGATGCATTTTAGCCTGCAGCCCATGGACCAAGTGGTTTTAATGGAGGGGACCCCATCCATTTCTGACCCAGGGAGGAGGGACTTGAAGGAAGCCGCCCCCAGGCATGTCCTGCCTTCCATCCATCCATCATCCATTCCCACTGCATGCTTGTCTTAAGTTGCTTGTCCTTCCCAGGCTCGGTTCAGGTCGTCAACGCCAAGCAACCAGGTATCTTGTCACCGACGCTTGATAAGCCCACCACCATCTTCTTGCCTCCAGCCCCTTCCTTCTACTTGGCCATCTAGTCTCTCTCTCATTCTGTTACACAGACAGGAATTCTTCTTGTTGATAATCTCATCCGCTCGCTTCTTCCTCCGGGATCTTGGACGTCTACACCTCTCCATCTCGTTCGGCTCCGAAATCTGTCGATCCATCGCCGACTTGTACATCCACCACCGAGCTTCCAACCTGGTGGCGATATGCCGACCGAGACAACACCAGGTTCCCTCTCGATCTCACGCTTCCGACGACGACGACGATACGACCTGATCTAATTTCATCGCCTATCCATTACCACTTTTAATCGTAACCCTGACGAACTCGGCCAACGAAAGAGATCCTCCTCGCCCATTGGATCGCCTTCTCACCACCTACCTGTCGCCCTCACCACCAACCTTTGGCAGCGACGCAACAGGTCCCCCGCCCGCAGCCAGCTCTCGCCGTCCCGGCGCCCAGCAGTCCCGGGACCGACAAAGCGTGGGCTCGGCACGGCGGGCGAGGATGACGCCTCAACCCGACGTTGAGCGCAGCAGCCTCAAGATGAAGGAGGAATCGCTCGCGCCGGGGAGCTCATTCAGCATGCGCGAACCCGACTACGACGATGATGCGCCGCCGCGGTACTGGGACCGTTTCGTCGATGGCTTCAAGCGCGACCGCAGCTCCTCCTTCTTTACGACCGACCCGTTGGGCCAGCTCGAGGGTGGCGCTGGCGAAAGGGTTCACGATGGCGTCCACTACTACGACATACAGTCTGCCATGCTGGAGACAGCCAACTCGGGTCTTGCGCGGAAACTCAAGGGCAGGCATCTGCAGATGATTGCTATTGGAGGTTCCATTGGTATGTTTTGGCGACTCGAGCGTTGGAGGATTATCTCCGAAGCAAACGCTAACATGATGTAACCTAGGTACTGGCCTCTTTGTCGCTTCTGGAAAAGCTCTAGCAGCTGGCGGTCCTGCATCGCTGTTGCTAGCTTTTTCAATAGTTGGCGCCATGCTGTTCTGTACATGCCAGGCATTGGGAGAACTTGCTGTTATCTTTCCAATTGCTGGTTCCTTTTCAGCCTGGGCAACTCGATTCCTTGATCCTTCATGGGGATTCGCCATGGGCTGGAAGTGAGTTCCTCTTGTTTCCGTAGCCATATTGATTGTAACGCTAACCATCATGATAGTTATGCCATGCAGTGGCTGATCGTGCTGCCGCTAGAAATCATCGCCGCCTCCCTCACCCTCTCATACTGGGATGAAAGCTTAACTCGCGCCATTTTCGTCTCAGTATTCCTCATCATCATCATTTTCATTAACATGTTTGGCGTCAAGGGCTACGGTGAGGCTGAGTTTATCTTTTCCATCATCAAAGTTATCGCTGTCATTGGCTTCATGTAAGTTCTCCCCACCCACCTCGCTTGACGCCAATCTATCATCAGACCCCTTGACTGACTCGCGGTTCCTTGACTAGCCTGCTCGGAATCATTCTCAACTGCGGCGGCACACCGGATAGCGGTTACATCGGCGGCAGGTACTGGCAGAACCCTGGCGCCTTTAACAATGGTTTCAAAGGCATGTGTAGTGTCTTTGTGACGGCGGCTTTTGCCTTTGCTGGGACTGAGCTTATTGGCCTCGCTGCCGCCGAGACTGCTAACCCGCGCAAGTCTTTGCCAACCGCCCTGAAGCAGGTGTTTTGGAGAATCACACTCTTCTATGTCGTTGCCTTGGCCTTGGTCGGGCTCCTGGTTCGATACGATGACCCTCGCCTAGTCGGTGGTGAAAGCGATGCAGACGCAAAGGCCTCCCCCTTTGTTATCGCCATTGAAGAGGCAGGTATCCAAGTCCTGCCCTCGATCATGAACGCCGTCATCATGATTGCCGTACTCTCAGTTGGAAACTCGGCTGTCTTTGGTTCCTCACGTACACTCGCCGCCCTCGCGAACCTCAACCAAGCGCCCAAGATTCTCGGCTACGTCGACCGCAAGGGCCGACCGCTCGTCGCTATAGCCATCGCAGCAGCTTTTGGCCTCATCGCCTTTCTCGCTGATCTCCCTGAGCAAGGGGCTGTCCTTGACTGGCTCATGTCCATCTCAGGCCTCTCTACAATCATCACCTGGGGCTCTATCTGCGTCTGTCACATCCGCTTCCGCCGCGCCTGGGCAGCCCGTGGGCGATCTGTCTCGGAGCTCCCATTTCAATCTCAGGTTGGTGTTGCCGGCTCCTACTTCGGTATCACTCTCAACGTCCTTGTCCTCATCGCCCAGTTCTGGGTCGGCGCCTTTCCTATCGGCTGGAAGGAGGATTCGAGTGCCGAGATCGCGAGCAACTTCTTTCACAAGTGGGTGGGCGCTCCTTGCGTCCTCCTCTTTTTCATCGGCCACAAGCTATACTATCGCACCACCTTTGTCACCATACAGGACATGGACGTCGACACGGGTCGCCGCGACTTCAACGTCCCCATCTTGGTCGCTCAAGAACGCGAGGAACGTGCGAGCTGGCCGGCATGGAAGAAGTACTACAAGCTTTTGTGCTAGACAGCGTTCCTGCGTGGCTTTGGGGGTTTGACCAGGATTGCTTGGGATTTTGTATCATTACAATGGGACTTGGATTAGCCTGGAGTCGGACGGAATAGGTCGCCTTTGCAGCCAGAGCTGCCTCATTTTGGAAATATATCAGGGCTTGGATCATATGGCGTTGGGACGGATGAATGGAAATGGGATATATCAGGCCTTTGAGCCACGGATAATTTTGATACCACTACGACTTTAAATAGCAAACAGCACCGTAGCCTACTCGCTCTTGTCAAGGGCAGGGTTGATGGGCCCGGGGATTTGTACTTTAACGCTCACTTGATGAGCACGAATAACGAGTTTCACATTCTATCATCACCATGTACTTCTTGAAGGATTCCAGGTAAAGGCAGTATCTGATTGAGCTCCCAGATGATATCGATACATTCCTGTGCCGCAGCACGAGATCCTCCCCTTTTTTCAACGACACCAGCCATGATACCTGTCCACCAATGGATACCAGCACTTTATAGCCATTCTCTGATCCTCCTCTGCTCTGCTCTGCGCCGTCCGGGTGTCCGATTTTCCCTCAACACCCTAGATGTAAGGCCGTGAAAAACAAACAAAAAAATGATGAATAAACACAAACAACGAAAAAGACCAAAGACCGTATTCCGAGGAGTGGCGCTCATTCTTCCAGCAGGTTTCCAATGCGGAAAATGATGCTAAGAATGAACCCTCGTGAACCATGAGCCATATGTACGCATACATCGTTAAAAAGAGAAAAGACGAGTAAGAGAAACACGCAAACATAAAACAGTGAAGGTCAAAGAGGCCCAATGTGCTCCCTAATCAAACATTCCCTAGCACTTAAAAGTCCCAGAAGTCACTCTTGGCCGGTCTTGCAGGTTGCTTTCGAACAGGGAGAGGCTGTTCGGTCAGGTCGCCGTACAACCAGTCACGGTTTGTTCCCTTCCTGCCGCCCATGCCGTCACCAGCAATAGCGATCTTGCTATCCTTGGTCTCACTGGGGACACCGCTGGCTCCTAGCTTTCGCCCAGGCACAGACTGGGACGATTCCTCCTGGGTCTCGTTGTAAAGCCAATCGCGCTCAGTTCCTTTCCTACTGCCCATGCCGTCACCGGCAGTGGTGATCTTGCTGCTCTTGTTGAGTGGAACGCCAGCAGCAGGGACATTGGCCTGTCGAGCAGGGATAGACTGGGCGACTTCCTCAGTCTCACCATAGAGCCAGTCCCGGTTTGTGCCTCTTCGACCTCCCATTCCGTCGCCTGCAGTGCGAATTCGAGAGTCGTTTGTGGGCTCTTGAACGGGCTTGTTCTCCTTCTGGGCTGGAGATTGGTCGGCGATGTCAAACTGGTGGTCAAAGTCCTTTCCGCGGTTGACGTTGGTGATATTGCCCAGGGCAGCCGGTTGCGCAGTGGTCTTGTCTGCTGTGTTCTCATCCGCGCCCCAGTGACCAACATCATTAGTTCGCATACCCCGGGAGGGCTTCACCTTCTGGGGGGTGACGAAATCCTCAAAGGACCATTGACTATCGTGCTTCGACTTTGGCTTCTCGTCAATCGAAACACCTTTCTGAGGAGCATCCTGCGGGTCGCTGCCATCGGCAAAGTCAAAGTGAGAATACTTGTTGGGGTTGGGGCGAATATAGCGTTTGTTCTGCTGCAGGGGCTGATCTGGCACGTCGGTATGCTCATAACCATCGAAGAGGCGCATAGGCTGGAAGTTCTTACCCTGGCCAGCCTTGGAGGGCGACATTTGCTGGCTCGGTGAATCAGGCTCGTGACCTAGAATCTCAGTGAAGGATCGCTGTCGGGGCCGAGTGCCGGCGTAGGGCGATACAACAGCAACGGGTTCAGTTTCAATCTCCTCGCGAGAGCCAAACAGTTGCAGGGAGGCATGGGGGTCTCGGAAGGCATTGCCAGTGTTGCCTCGAGTTCGGGCAATGGATTCGTTGTGGCTGAGAGGAGCGGGAGGTGCGGTGCCGGCAGACTTGATGGCTGATCGGATGTAGGTGATCTGCTCCCGGCTGTCCCTAATGGGCCAGTTGCGACCAGACTTGCCGATGACCTCGACTTGCTTCAGAAGTGAGCCCTGGTCCCATTGGACTCGGATCTGCGAAATCTTGCCCGCCTCGTCAAATGTCACAAAGTGAGTCTAGAACCACCATTGTTAGTATGCGCCTCGACCTGCGCAAGAGCGAATGCGCCCAGGCGAATGACGTACAATGGGGAGGTAGACGTCTCGGGCAGAGAGAAAGTTGTCATCGAGGCCTGGAAGATAAGGGCCGCCACCAGTCTGGAAGCCCAAGCCGGTGTCGATCTCGAAGACGGCAACGTTTCCGCCGTCCACAACGTTAAAGACATCCTCCTTCTTCTTAGCGACAACCTTCTGAAGGCCATTGAGATGCTTAATGATCTGGGTCGGACCAGAAAAAGTGGTTGTGGTGGTCACATAGTACAGCGCAGCCGTGTCGGCCAGCAGCGACGAGCTGGGCGCAGCCAGGAACTGCTTGTAAGTGGCCGTCATGACGATGACGGGGATATGCGACTCGTGGGGAATGGAAGTTCACTGCCGTGGTGTAGCTGCTGTAGTCGGAGGATAAGCAGGGGGAAAAGTGAGGCCGCGACTCGAAGCGACCGATAGCAAGATGCGGCTGGCGATGATGAAGATGGAGATTAAAGATCTTTGTGTTTGGAAGAAAGAAGAGAAGGGAAGAAAAGATGAATTCAAAACAAGCACGTGGAGTCGTGAAGTGGGATGGGGGAGAAGTGGGAAAGCGGCAGCCGGGGCGAGTCAGGGGTCCGGAGGTACCTGCCTACTGGTACCCTTTGATCCTGGCCACCGGCATCAATGCGCTCCAAGCAAAGAATGCGCATGCGCTGCACGCACTGCGGATGGAGGGGCCTCAAGGGTCAAGGGCCAGCAAGGGGGCGGATAGTCTCCCTTCTCCTCCTCTCCTCCTGCATTTTGGGGGCTCTTAGTGGCGCAGTCGAGAGAAGCAGAGTGTTTAGGCGCATCCAATCCCTCTTGAGGAAATGAAAGGGTTGGCCGCCCTTGCTGGAAGCGTTGCAGAACCTTCGTTACGAGGCCGTATCTGTTCCTCAGCTTCGATGCGCTTTGCCTGAGACAGCCTTACTACGGAGCCTCCGTATATCCTCGTGATTCTAGTTTCAGAGCTCTAAAGATGGCTCAACTGGCACCTACGTAGTATCATGAAGCAAACTCAATCATGACGGGTTGCGCCCAGACTTGAAACAAGACAACGGCACCCGTTTGCTACGAGGTACTTCTGAGCCAGGTACCTGGGCACCATCACCACATTGCCAGAACATGTTGGATGTCACTGTCAGCAAACATCATTACATGTGATGAAGAGATACCTGGTTATTCAATGCGCATTTGCTGACGCGCCTTGTTTTTCTCTATTTGTTTGGTTTGTTTGCCTGGATGTCGCATTGCGCTAACGCCTAGCTCCAGGAAGCATCCCTCCCCTTAACTCAACGAGTGAGCTTTGCGCTTATGACAGGCATTGAGAATGCCCCTCCTCCCGTCATGAAAGATTAGATCTTCGGCTGATTGATCTTCGGGTCCTCGGCAACAATGTGCCACGTTGATGTCATATCCGATGCCTCATCTTTTATCGATTATGCTGCGCTTCCATCAACTCTACCATGCCAACAAGCAATGATTAGATACGATGCTATATCTAAAAAGGGGCAAAGCTTGGACGCGTTCTCCAGCTTAACCGTCCCCGCCTACGCGTTAGCTGCGTCAAGCTCCTGGTCCTGCCCTGAGCTGCACCATGTAAGACGACGGAGCCAGCCCAACGCCGAACCAGGGGCGCGTCACAGCAGAGCCCCGCTGCGTTTCATGTCCTGCTACGCCTTTCCTATCTTGGTTGGCCCACCTCTTCTGCTGAGCTTCAGACATATCTGGCCCTCAGCATGGGGAGAAACAAGCTGGCGTTTCTCATATGACAGTGAGATCTATTATGACGTCCATTTCGGTGCTGATGGCTTTGGCAAGTAGAATTGGTGGAACTATTTCAATATGAGCAGGCAAAGACCCAGATGAGGTTCCACCCTATCGGAATATAACATTGTCATGCCTCCGGATATTTGGCGTGTAACCTTCTAGAGCATCAGCAGGCTATGATTCAATAGGTAGGTACGTGGTACAGCGAGCGGTGATTTACCAATTACCCACTTCGTATCTGGCAATAGTGTCTTCACTCCTATGCGCCTAATCTTGCTCGTCAATCATGGTTTGTGTTGTATCGTCGCTCCATCCAAGCTACTTTGCTAAATGGATACCTCGTAAGCAGCTAGGATTCACCGATCTGACTACGGTCCTAGTCTAGATGCATCCGTGATCTGAGCTTGGCTGAGAGGCCAGGTGACCCAACATGTAACCTCAAATGCGTATCATAGAGTCGATCAACGGACAAAGAACATCTGTTCATGAACCTCTTATCTCACAGCTCACAGGTCACAAATGTCCTGTCCTTATCACTAGCCACATGAGGCGCGGGTGCCTAATCGCGTGGACCGTCAATTGTGGCGCGAGGCTCTGCGCCACACTCGGCGAAACACGAGCTGCCGCCTCACTGCTGACGTGCCTGCCTCGTCCCTCCAAGGAGCAAAGTGTCCTACGCTCACTTCCATCACCACATTGCGACTTTGAAATCGACACTACAGCATCCACGACTCTTCTGCCGCCCGAAATCATCGCGGCATCGCGTGATAAACTTTCTTTAGCCCCGCCGGCTCCGTTCGTTCCTTCATGATACCTTCAACCCGAGCTCCGTCGCAATGATGAGGTCCGTGGCCTGGGCCGCACTATCATGGCGCGTCTTCTGGCTTTCCCTGCTCTGGACAGCAGTGTCAGCCAAGCAAGACAAGCCCAAGATCGATTCCGTGATGCTCGAGCATCCCCCGCTCAACTTGAACTATTTCGAAGATAGCGACGTCATCGTCTTTCAAGATATCGAGGAGCGAAACATTTACAGATCTGAGGATGCTGGTTTTACTTGGAATAAAGTAAAAGAGCTCCCCGACGGGGGTTCAGCGTTCCTCTATCTTCACCCTTTCGAGTCCTCTACCGCTTTTGTCCTCACCAAGGACAGGAAGCACTACAAGACAGAAGATCGAGGCAAGAGCTGGACCGAGTTCGACAGCGGTTCCATGCCGAGCGCCTTCCAGCCCGATACCCTCATCTTCCACGCCGGCGATCCGAAGCGCATCATCTTCAACGGCATGAACTGCGATGGCATCTTTTGCGACGAGGAGACTACTTACACGCTCGATGGTTTCAAGACGATCCAGCCCTTGCGCCCCAGTACCTCGGGCTGCTGGTGGGCCAAGTCTAACACCGAGTTTACAACTGGAGATGAAGATCTGGACAAGACAAGAATCCTATGTATTGTCACGGATCCTCTGAGCATCTTCAAGACAAGTCAGAAGCTGTGCGTCTCGGACACGTTCTTCAAGAAGGAGAACAATGGCAAATACCAGGAATTCGAACCCACTTTGGACAGCAACCGAGACGTAACTGGAGTCGTTAGTCTGGCGGCCGTCAAGAGCTTCATCCTTGTGGCTTCGTCATCCGCCAACAGCGACGAAATGGCTCTTTACGTCACGAGCAACGCCAACCAGTGGCACCGGGCCATGTTCCCCAGCGACGACAGCCATGACCATTCCCACCAGATCAACCAAGAGGCTTATACTGTGCTTGAGAGCACAAACTATAGCATCCAGATCGATGTCATGACATCTCATCCGTCCAGGCCCATGGGTGTCATCTTCACGAGCAACTCCAATGGCACCTACTTTACCGAGAACATCCCATACACCAACCGCAACATCAAGGGTCATGTCGATTTTGAGAAGATTAGCGGCATCCAAGGCATCTTCCTTGTCAACACGGTCGAGAATGGCAAGGATGTCGACGAAGGCAGCGCCGAGAAGGTTGTTGTCACCCAAATCACCTTTGATGACGGTCGAACGTTTGAGCCGGTCAAGGCTGGCGATCAACGGATTCATCTCCACTCCATGACCCAGATCAACAACATCGGGCGCATATTTTCGAGCCCAGCTCCTGGCTTGGTCATGGGCAATGGAAACACGGGCAAGTCTCTTGGCAAATTCGATGACTCCAACCTCTACGTGTCTGACGACGCTGGAGTAACTTGGAAGCAGGCGCTTGAGGGCCCTCACAAGTACGAGTTTGGTGATTCAGGCACTATCCTTGTTGCTGTCCGCGACTCTGCCAAAGAGGATGTTGACAAGGTCTCGTACTCGCTCAACTATGGCGACACCTGGGAATCTGTCCCACTGCCGAAAGACCTGAAGATCAGGCCTGCGCTCCTCACGACCACTCAAGACTCGACCAGCCTGAAGTTCCTCCTCATCGGCGAGCATGATAAGAGGTACCACATGGTTGCTCTAGATTTCGAGGCCCTTGAGAAGTCAACGTGCGGTGACAAGGATATGGAATCTTGGAATGCCCGAGTGGATGACAAGGGCCAAGCGACCTGTATCATGGGCCGTAAGCAGACGTACAAGCGCCGCACCAAGAAAGCAGACTGCTTTATCAAGAGCAACTTCAAGGATCCTGAGCCCATCAATGAGCCCTGCGACTGTACCGATGCCGATTTCGAATGCGATTACAACTTCCAGAGAGACCCTGAGGACAGGACTGTCTGCAAGAGGGTTGGATCCATTCCTATGCCACAGGGCGCATGCAAGGACAAGGACGATAAATTCAAGGGATCCTCTGGCTGGCGAATGATTCCTGGAAACCAGTGCAAGCGAACAAAGGGTGCCCAGAAGGACGACGAGGTGGAGCGAAAGTGTTCTGAAGGCGGCGGTGGCAACTCTGGAGGTGATGGTTCGTCTCCCAGCGTTCCAGCAAACGGCGAGATCTCGCACAAGAAGAACGACTTCGATTCCGAAGCATTGGATATGCAAAAGTACTATCTCATTCGTGGAGACTCCAGCTCGGGCACAGACGAGACCATTATTGCTAGGCCCATCGGAGAAAGGACAGGCAACAGTGTACAGGTGGAAAACAAGGTGTGGCTCACCTCGGATCACGGGAAGTCGTGGAAACGCATCCTCGATCAAGAAGACATTATGAAAATCTTCCATCACGACTACTTCAAGGATGTCATGTTCTTCTCAACCAAAACCGACAAGATCCTCTACACGATTGACCGCGGTCAGACCTTCCACAGCTTCAAAACACCTGTAGCTTCGGACGACTTCACTCTGAGCTTCCACCCGGACAAGAAGGACTGGCTTATCTGGGTTGGCAAGCATTGCGACGACGTATCCGGAAGCAAGAGCTGTTTCCCTGCCGCGTCTATCTCCACAGATCGTGGCGATCATTGGAAGACGCTGGTGCGATATGCGACCAAGTGCGAGTTCACGGGTAATTCTGCATACAAGTACCGCCCTCTCACACAGATCGTCTGTCTCGTCCACCAAGAAGAGAACCTCGAGTCCCCAAAGACCATCGTGACGATCAATGATTTCCTTGCTGATGACAAGCTCATCCACAATGGCACGGTGGCAAGCTTCGCTACCATGAACGAGTTCATTCTCGCTACTGACGAGGTCACCGAGGCCGGCAAAGAAAAGGCTGGACTACAGGCAATTGCAAGTCTTGACGGACAGCACTTTGAGGCCGCCCAATTCCCGTACAACTTTCACGACTCCCATTCAAGCCTGTACACGGTTCTGGACAGCTCTAACCATGCCGTCAACCTGTTTGTTGCCACCGACCTCTCAGATGGTCGACGCCGTGGTTCAATCATCAAGAGCAACTCCAACGGTACGACGTACGTGTTGAGTGCCTCCAACGTGAACTCGGACGAGGCTGGCTATGTGGACTTTGAAAAGGTTGCCGGACTTGAGGGTGTTACCCTTATCAACGTCGTCGCCAACCCCGACAAGAAGGATGGCAAGAAGGAGATCCAAACCAAGATTTCGCACAATGACGGCGCAGAATGGGACTTCCTACCACCCCCTTCGAAGGATGTGGATGGCAAGGCGTACAAGTGCAGCTCCGCAGGTGACAGCAAGTGTGCTCTGCATCTGCATCACTACACGGAGCGGGATAACAAGCGCAGGACATTCTCGGCGAGCAAAGCGATCGGCTTGATCTTTGGCGTTGGAAACGTTGGTTCGACTCTTGGGGAGATGAAGGATGCCGACACCTTCATGTCTGCAGATGGCGGAATCAACTGGAAGAACGTCAAGAAGGGCGCCTGGACCTGGCAATATGGCGACCAGGGCTCAATCATTGTCCTCGCAGAGCGAGCCACCCATGGAAACGGCGCAAAGACCAAGACTGTCTCGTACTCACTTGACGAGGGCGAAACATGGAACGAGTATGAATTCACGGACAAGGAGGTGACCATCCTGGACCTGACCTCGGTCAAGACCGGAGCGGCCCGAAACTTCTTGGTGTGGTGCCGATCAGATAGCAAGCAGCTGTTCTCCGTCAACATCGACTTCACGGGCTTGACGGACAAGGCCTGCGAGTACAAGGACGATGCGTCTGCCTCTGACTACGAACTGTGGTCTCCCAAGCACCCGCTTCAAAAGAACGACTGCTTCTTTGGGCACGTGGCCAAGTATCTGCGAAAGAAGAAGGATCGCAAGTGCTTCAACAAGGCGACGCTTTCGCTGTTGCACGGATACGAGAATTGCGAATGCACTCGACGAGATTTCGAATGGTAAGCCTCTGATAACTAAAGTCAAGTCAAGTCGAGTAAAGCTAACACGAGGTAGTGCATACAATTACGAGCTGGACAACCATGGACAATGCTCCCTGGTTCCAGGCTTCCAGCCCCTATCCGGCGAGGAATGGTGCAAGCAGAATCCTAACGAGACAACCTGGTTTGAGCCGACGGGCTATCGTCGCCTGCCGCTGACGACTTGTAAGGACGGTGTAGAGCTAGACAAGACATCGGATGAGCACGCCTGCGAGGGATACGAGGATGAGTTTAAGCGCAAGCACCGAACATCGGGCTGGGTCATCTTCTTCGCCGTCGTGATCCCAATCGGCCTGGCTGCCGCCATCGGTTGGTACGTCTGGCGCAACTGGAGTGGCAAATTCGGCCAGATCCGACTGGGAGACAACAGCTCGACGTTTGACAGCGATCAGCCATGGATCAAGTATCCCGTCATCGCCATATCTGCCGTGGCAGCAGTGGCTGCTGCGATGCCGCTCGTCATCATCTCACTGTGGCGATCTGCTACAGGTGTGTACGAGCGGGTCTCGAACCGAAGCCGAGGCGGCAACTGGTCGAGACGGTACACGACTCGCGATAGCTTCGCCCGAAGCGACTACTCGATGGTGGATGATGACGAAGGAGAGCTGCTCGGTGAGGAGAGCGACGAAGAGGTTTGATGGGTTGTACGAGCTACGACAGGAATTCCAGGGACTGGACTGTAACATGAGAATATGGTGTATTGACTGGAGGGACTGCCGCCGAAAAGTACAGTGAGTGGCATGGGTTTATATGTTGAGGATGAGCGGATGGATACTCTTTTCCTTGGGGATATAGAATGGACGGTCAGGATGGTATAATTAGCAGTTTATCTGTACTCTTTGGAATATGAAGCATGGTTCTAAGACTGAATCCGCGTTGCTGTCCATCTTGAACTCCTTACAGACTGGAACACACAAATCAGTATCGGATATCACAACATGCATCTTGGCAAACTGATACAGCCGAAACGAGAGGGCCTCCTCCTTGGCATCATCGAGATGGCGCCCCCTCCTTCTCGGACTGGAGACGGACGCAGGCTCCGACGGCACGGCGCCGGTGCTGCAAGCCACGAAACCCTTCCGGCGCACATGTCCGCCCGGCGCCAACTACTACGCCACAGAGCTTGGCTAGACGCACAACAGTTCGCATATGCGTCTCCTTCTCTGTGCTACTCCCTATTTGGCCTCTTGTGGTCCCCCCCCCCCTTCCTTCTCTCCTTGTGGGAAGTGATGCAGCTCACACAGAGTCCAAGAGTTACTCCAAGGTCCGAGGTTGCATCAAGAGGTAGGTTGTTCAAGGTTATATACAGTCACACAAGGACAAGCAACGTGTCAAACATCCATGTCAGCACATGTGCCCAAGGTTACACAAATGTCTTCTTCATCATCTTTTTTTCATTGTCATTTCGATATGGATTTCGCTTTTGATACAACGCCTTGCTTCCCAAGGGCCCACAGCCTGCAACTCCGAGTCGTATCCTCTTGGCCCTCCCTAAATTCTGATGCCAATGCAACCAGGAGCCTTTATTGATGACGTGAACCCTTCCAAAACAGCAGGCAACAAGAAAACTCCCTCAACTCCTCCCTGTCCTTTAAGTGATTGTAGTTGATGTGCTAAACGATGGATGGTACCGCCCCGCAAGTCGACGAGGCCGTGACTAGTAAAGCAGAATGGGAGTCTATGGTGATTAAAAAACAATTTGGGGTATTTGTTAACAGACGAAAAGGAGATCATATCGTAACGATTCGCTTTGAAAACCCATCGGCATGAAAGCCTCATGCCGCAAAGAACAAGCTTCCGTAGAAGCGCCACAGGGGCATCAGATAGTTCTCAAGTGCTCTCTTTGGTGAGAGAGTAGGTGTTGAATAAGAGGCCGTCAAGGGCAATCATGTCCGCTTGACCCGGTTCCAGAACCTCTTGACAACCCCATTGTCGTGCTCAGCGCCCTCACCCCACTCGTCCAAGGCTGCGAGCTGCCTCTCGATGCTCTCTTTCGGGTTACCATCGCGAGCATAGACAGTGCTGGTGGTGGACTCATCCCGAGAAGGGCCCCCTCGGCTGCTTCCGGGCTGCTTCCAACCGTAGATTTGATCCTCACTTTGCCGAAGATCCGGTCGCGTCAGCGTCATGCGAAGAGTCATCTCTCGACATGAAGCCTGATCCAGGATACTCTTGTCGCTCCTGGGGGCGCATGGAGGCTGCTCAATGCTTGTCCGGGCTGGTCGCACCGGCGCCGGCTTGTCAAACAGCTGAGGTGTTTTCGGTGACTCGGGCTCGGCTACTGATGCATCATCGCTGTATCTTGATGACCGGTCGTCTTCCAAGAAACTGCGGAACTTGTCTGACTCCTTGGCATTCTCTTTCTTGGACCCGACGGGTCTGGTAAATGTGGGCTCCCGGGGCGAGCCATCCTTGGATGGAAACCCAAACTCGATTGCCTCATCAAACTTTTGGGGTGAGGCGAGATACGCTCGCAGCTTCTGGCGGGCTTCAGGGTCTTGATAATGAGTTGCCGCAGGATCGATAGGAGGGATAGGAGGGGATGAGCGTGGTGACATCTGCTTGTTGGGGGACACCAAGGATAGAGCGCGAGACTTGCGTCGGATGTGCCCCGATGAGCCAATGGTAGAGTTCTGAGAGGCTGAAGGAGAGATAGAGGTTGGTGACACAACTCCTTCCCTGGGAAGAGGTCTCGTGTAAGAAACCGAGGGTCTGCCGAATGGCAATTTGTTGATCGACAGATGCCGTCGGAACGATGGTCTGCGGCTTTTATTTGGAACCGGCACCTCCTCACGGAGATTGATGTGGTAATCGTCCAGATACAGACGCAGATCCAGGCCTTCCTCATCTTCGAGCCACCGGAAGCTGTCGTAGAAAGAATCCGGCCTGTTGTTGTCCGAACGGCGAGGTTCTCTGTCACTCTTTCGGCGCTGTACGCTCGAGAACGACGATTGGTCGTCAGACAGCCCTGGGCTGAACTGAGCAGACTGCATTCTCATTTCTTGTGACGGACGCTTCTTGTCTTTGTCCAATGGTTCTTCCACGGCTTCGGGAGTCGATTTTGGTCGGTCGAGGGCGATCAAGAGTTCCTCGTCAGTCAGATGGCGGCGTTTTATCTTCTCGGGAAGATTCGCGTAGAACCGTTGATCCGTTGATGTAATCCGAGGTCGGCGGTTCGAGTAGAGAGTCGAACTATCAGAAGTAACCGGTCTCTCCAGCTCGCCCCAGTTCGAAGACTTGGGCAGCGAAGAACGGGGTGATAGATGGTCGTGTCCGACACTCCCGAAGCATGAACGGGACTCCAAGCCGGAGTAATGGGTGAATTGTGATCGCTCAATTGTTGAAAAGTACTGCACGAGGTCAATATTTAGCACCCAGAATTGGCACAAGACACAACGAACAAAGCAACAGACAGCCAACCCAGAAATTACATCAAGACAAATGAAGTGAACAACAGATAGTAGAATGCAGGTGATTGAGGGGGATCCCTGGTTCTTAAGGCGAGAGAGAGGGGCAAAACTCGAAAGGGAATGGACATGTCTCAATCCAGGAACGAAGCGGCACAAGCAGGGCAGAGAGTCGTTGAGGTGAGGGCTCGTGGGGCCCCGAACACCACTGTCTTGGGGCGGATGAGGTCCGGCTGTTGGTTGTGCACGAGCTTCCTTCTGCTCCGAGTGGCATGGATCGTCCAGGAACTGCAGGCCTAGGGCCTTGTCACAGCGCCTTGGGCTGGGGATGTGATTGCTGGGCAAAGGAGAGAGCTCACTTTGTCGCTCAGCTCTGGATGCTAGGGGATATTGGGGGAAGACATGGGAGAATATTGAGCCTGGTTCGACCAATGGCCAAGCGCCCAGCCCACAGACTGCGTGGAGCCACCACAACGGGCGCCATGAGCCAGGCCAGAGGAGGCATGGCCGAGACATGGGTGCCAGTGGGCGGTGGCTTTTGGGAGTGGTCTTGGTCTCCCGCCGAGTGCTTAACGGTCCTACTGGTTTGCTCGTCTGCTGCCCAGGCGGCAACTAACCCCCCGGCATCTGCAGAGCAGCACCCGTGGAGGCGGATGCAGCCAGGGCTCGTCGAATCATGGCCGCCCTATGCCGTGTTGTCTGACCCAGATATCGCAAGACACTTGTCCAAGCAGCCCTGTCAAGAAGGTCACCCAAGACCATGGTTTCGGTGATTCTCGGCTTTGCTTTCTGGGTTAATGTGAAGATGTGAGGGAAAGGGGTATGAGTGAGATAGCCCATCAGGGCTGGCGTCAAGAATGAGCAGCCCGCCTGCATGTCTTCCTCGGCCCATTCGGTGGATGAGAGGAAAACGGAATGAAAGTAGTCCGAACAGAAACAATAGGCTAGCAAGTGATAATAGTGAAAGAAGCAAACTTACTTTTCTCTTGATCGTGGGTGGCAGTGCTTCGAATTCCTCCCTCGTGATCATCATTGACGGCCGGTTATCATCCATTTGAGGCTGGCATTCAGAAGAAGCGCGAGGGTTCGAAGAATCAGACTCGGAGCTTCGATTGCGCCGCCACTGGAGCAGGTGGCTACGGGACGAAGATGGGCGATTGTCGACTGAGCCAAGAACACTATCGGGAAAGAGAAATTCGGAGTCGATTTCACTGAGCAAGTCGTGATACTGTTGGAGGTTGGGGCGCTGGCCGTCATCCAGGAGACCTTCAGTAGGGAGACGTAGCTCGACCTGCCATGGATGGTTCAGACCTGATGGCATTGGCGATACATCTGTCGTACTTGTCGTCATGGCCATGGTCGCGATGCTCGTTGGGCGAGATATCAAGAAACTCTTGTCACCGAAATCTCGGTCCTGGTCAGTAGTCAGAGTATCGCTAAGGTCGAGCTCGGTGGGATGGTGGCGTCGCCCTGTTTGCAGTTGCGGCTCGGATCGTTCTCGAGAATGGCGGTTTGCGAATGTGGGTGCATACGCATGTGCATGCTGTGCATGTATACGGCTGTCGGCGTGAACTGGTCGGCGCTGGTAATGATGCAGAGGCCTTGGGTGTAGATGATGGGACGAACTGCCAGAGCGAGAGCAGAGGGTCTCAGTGTCGAGGAAGGTTCTATTATTATCAACATCGAAAGGCGACTCGGCAGCGTCGCTAATATCGCTGACAGTAAGACGATTGTTATCGTCCTTGATATTGCCGTCCGCGGATACACCTTGCGTTGGCCATCCGCCTCTAGTCCACTGAGGACTCAAGACCGGCGTCGCATCTTCTCCATCGCCCTGGCCCATGACGAAGCCCAGTAAAGAGTCGATTGGGGCAGGCGGCAGCTAAAGGAGCAGGGTTTTAGATTTCTGCGACAGGGAGCGGTGATTGAATTGGATGGTGAGCGCTGATCATGAAGGGATTTGGAAATGAACCGTGATGCAAGGTCCACTGCTGTCAACCTGGCCCCCGCGGGCGCGCCTCTCGCCCTTGCCTGTTTCGTTTGCCGTTGGTGTGAGTGAAGATCGACGGGGAGACAACAAGAGAGAGAGAGAGAGTAGAGCTCAGTCGACGACTCTTGGAAGAAGTTGGTTTGGTGAGGGCTTCACGTGGACGCGAGGGAGGAAGTCGCTACTCCTGTTCACACTTGCCCAAAGACCCCGGTATCGTTCATAGTGCTTCCTTCGCAGGCAGTGGCAGTCGTCGTCGGGAACCGTGAATTCGCAAATCGGCAGGTACGGGATCTCTCCTTTGAGGTTAGTCTGATGACGTTAACCAACTGCCCGGTCGTCGGCTTTTGCTGCTTCTGTTGCTGCTAGAATTTGAAAAAGGCCTTTCTCACAAAGAAGTCAAAGATTGCGAAAAGGAAGAAAAAGCTCGAGGATTTTGGCGTTGCAATGGAGATTGGACCCCTCTACATATGACGAAAGAAGAAAAAAATAAAAGCATGGGAGAAAAGACCGGCCACCCACGATCTATCTAAGGTAACCAACTTCACCGGCGGCAGCGCAAGTGTCATATGGGGTCATGAGCTTCGGGCGGCATAACTGACTCCAGATTCATAGGTACGGACACAGTCCGACCGCTGGCTTTCCCCCCGTCCTCGTCCCCGTCGTCCCGTCGAAAAGGCCAAAGTGAACGGTCTACGAAACGAACAAAGTCCGCGTGCAGAGGCCAGCTAACGGGCGAACAAGACATGGATCTACAGACTATGTACATGGACATGGTCACATTCTTGTTGAAGCACGGCGCTGCATCAAGTTATGTCGGTGCCCGTCGCCGCCAATCCTCAGCCCCTGGTCCCTGGCAGAAATGGTCCCCAGTTCGCGGCCTCCCCTCCCCAATGCTTGGCCTTGCTTGCCCTTCACCGTCCGTCCTTGCAACCCACCAGGCCAATCCGTTTTAGCCTCGAGTCTAGCACCACAGCCGGCATCCCAAAATCCCGGGCGCCTTCACGGCAGCAGAACGTTGCGTTCGGCTGAATAATGGCACCTCGACGAGAGGGGGGCGCCATCTCAACGCCGCGACCGGAGAGCCGAGCTTCAGCTAACGTTAGAGCTCTGCCGAGTACTACAAGCTTGACTTTGAGTCTGGGGGGTTGCAAGCCGTGATCCATCTCTGTTAGCCCCTTTGTCTGGGGGGCACCAATGCACCTGACATTGGCCATTTCGAGGCCGTCTCTGCAAGGCCGTCTCTGCCCCGGGCCCGCTGCACCGGTGGATGAGGTGGAAGCCGGAGTGATGTGATCCACCGCTCGCCCACTACCCGCGTCAACTTGCTCACTCGTTCTCATGAGGCTCAGACCTCAGGCGCCCCCCAGAGACGGCAGCAAACATCGGTGGATCCACGTTGTCTCGATTCCACCAACCTCGATTCTGCACGGCTGGGGCTCTCGCCCGACGAGCCAAGGGTAGCCAAGGGTAGCCAACGTCAGACCTAATTGAGCTGTCTGTCACTTCTGCCTCGAAATTCCTTTTCCTCGATAACTCAGGGGCTTCTATCAGCTACTTGGGTCTGTCCAATCACCTAACCCTGCATTCCTTCGTCCTCCTTTGGATGCCAAGCTCAACTCTGTTCGGCCTCATGCAGCCGCCTCGCGTCCAACCATAATCGTCAGCACATCCAGGAGGACACGACAAGACATGTGAGATCAACTGCCAGATTTCCATGCAACGCTGAGGGCAACAGGGAGCTGGGGCCGGTGCCCGACTAGCCAGGGCACGCCTGACCGTTCAATGCTATCTTTAAGCGGCCCCTGTGACAGGCATCCGAAGGAACCACTCCTGAGCCATCGGTTCCTGATGTGGCCAACGGCCTTGTCCCGTTGAGTCTCTTTGGGCATCTCTCCCGAATAGTCGAGCTAGGCTCTGACGTCTGTCGCCCGGTTCCTCGAGAGCATCTCGCGGCAGGGCGACCGAAAGCGAGCAGTTGACGTTGGCAACAGGCGGCCAGCAAACCCCTGTGCAACTGGCTGTGCCACATTGGTGCCCCAACTTTTTGGGTTCCTCCTTGAAGATATTGACTTTGGGCTTAGTTCAGGCACATCGTCTGCTTTGGATCCCCTGGCCGTTGGATCATCTTCTACGTTGAGAGGCAAAAGCAATAATGAGCCTCCCAGGGATCCCGGGGCTTGTTGGGAACGATGCCGGCGGCATTTGCCGCCTCGCCGTGGCCGATAATGATGACGGAGCCGAGGACGTGAGCAATTACGCCAACCGTCATGGTTCGCATTATCGTGGTGGTTACACAACTCCATCGACGAACCTACGGCTTCAACCCGATGGGTTGTGGTGGAACGGATACAGAGGACTCCAGTACGAGGTACAGATCAGTTACGGGACAGCCAAGCTTTTAGCAATTCTTTCACCGAGTTTTCAACCCAGTCAACAAGTCAAGTCAGACTAAAGGAGCGGAAGTCAAGTTGTTGGAAATCCTTCAGGCTAGGCCTCACCCTGGTCTCTCGAGAGTGCCGTGAGCCGTGATAGTGACCAGGACGGACTATCCGGGGGTTCGTCCATCTTGGTGTCTTGGCCTATTTGGCTGACGACAGCTATTGCGTTACGCTTGAACGAGCGTCATGATGTCCATCTAACAACCCCAAAACTGTTATTTTCAGCCTGTCGATCCATCTGGGGAAGAGAAACGTCCATGTAACCCAACAGCTGAATTTTCAACTCTAAAGGGTCATTCCATTGCCTTGGAGAACATTCTGGGTCACAACACGACCCACGAGCCCTGGTTGAGGTCGCCGTATATCTGGTCCCAGTGGGTCACTGCTGCACCAGCACATCAACTCCATTCAGAGCCGCCTCCGGGGTTCGCCAACAGCAGTGAGTGGGCAGGACTAGCAGGGCAGCTCACCGTTGACCACGGGGAAACAGCCTCAAAATACCTATCCCAGCAGTAGACCCTCCCGATCAAACCGAGACCGGCTTGGGCCCGGTGATCCCGTTCGTATTTGAACATGTTCCCTTGCAAGTTTCAAGATACACGTAATCATGGAGATGAGTCTCTAGAAACACACAGTACGATGCAAAGGGTATGGAGATGTTGACATCGTCGATAAGCCATAATATCATCTGTACCTGAAACTGCGCCCATGGGAGCGTGTGGAGCACAACATGAGAAGCACAGACGACGCACTCTTCAGGGCCAGGCTTCGCTTCTGGGCGCCACTTACCGTCTGCCGTGCATATGTGCACTTGCATCCAAGGGCCCGTGATGAAAGGAGTCGCCCCATTACTGTGCTCGACTCGTCCGGGCGTGGCGCGATAGCCATCGGTGGCTCCGCCTAGCGACACCAACGTCCGGGAACCACATCGCTAGGCAGGGTGAGCCCGGCGTGTCAAACGTCGCAGTGAGCGAAGACCAACTGCCGAGATGGCTAAGCGGCTTGGGGGGAATGGTGCGATTTTCTCTAGGCGGCGTAGGCGATGGCAATTTGACAGTGATTCGAAGTGAATCGTCTTTGTGAGATGGCACGAGCTAACACGAACGTAGACGAACCGAACTGGCCACGTGAGCACAAGCTCAGTGGCAGTTGCTCAGTACCTCGGTCAGCTGCCTCTCATAATTGCAGTTCTTGTGTTCGTGATGCTTCAAGATGGTGAGGGCATGAGCCAACACAAACATCGTGGATGATGAGTCAAGACAAGCTTCAACTTGAAAGACGTGGTTGAAGCAGCCTCCCGTGGCCAATAGCGTCAGAAGACACGCCATCTTTTCAACCTCCCTTCCAAAACAAAGACGATATGAGATTGCGTCTGCATGAGGTAGTCAACATCTCATCCAGATGAACAAAGAAGTCCCAATGACACATGAAGGCCTCAATTTCTCCAAGTTGAGAGATGCAGACGCGCTAAAGTCAACGCGTCTCGTCGTGAACTTTTATGTCTTGCCGTCGTTTTTCCGGCGTGGCATCCACTGGAGGCAAAAGCACAAGCCAATGAGACAGCGTGTCAGCCAACACCCACGGCCTCAGCCTCAGCCTTTCTCAGTCCAGCCATCCATCTTTAACTTTATCTCAGCTACAACTCAAGCATCACTGTTCATCGCCCGGACATGTTGGGTCGGTGAATCAGAGTTCAACTTTTGCTACTCATGTATTCTTACTTCTTTTTTTAAACTTTCCTTTTGATACCCCGTCGCTCTTCCAATGACCGCGGAAAAGATGCCTCTCATGCTGGATAATGCCATGCCAGTGGACCTCAACGATGTCGACGACCTGTTTGGCGATGCCGTGGGCCTCTCTCTTCCCGTAAGGGCTCCAAGCAAACAGCTCCAACAGAGGATGGACGATCTGAGAAGCCGAGGATGTTGCCAGTATGAAAATTGCAAATATGTCGGTGGACACTTCAACTAACCTCATAACAGGACTGTGTCTTGGTCGAGAACCGGCACCATCGCTTCCATCACGCCAGACGGCCAGACTCTCGAGCTTCGCTATCTGCGGCGCAGTACAGACAATGGCGCGTGGGATCTCAGTGAACCAACCACATGTCAACTTGTCAAGGGCTCACCCGCTGTCCCTCTAGTCCACTTAGTATGGGCAAACACGAGCAGCCCTGACCTGGCCATCATCGATGCAGTCGGACGTGTCAGTATTGTCAGCTTCTCCATCTCTCTCAATCATCCTTTCCTCCAGAGGAAATGGGACACTGATCCCGTTGACGATGTGCACGCTGTCGTTGGAGCTTACTGGCTCAGCATCACTCCGTCCAACCAACAGGTATGTGCAAGTCGGAAAGCCCTTGAATTTCTTTCTGACGGAGTATGAAAGTCCTACAATGTCATGTACGGACCAGCCACAAAGCATGGCAACGGCTATACATATGAAAGCTCTTTTGTTCAAGCGGGTGGTCCCTCACACCCCAACCCGGCAAAGAGCGCTCTATTCACCCTCACCACAAACGGTGTTCTCAGAATGATATGGTCGCAAAATAACAACAGGATCGAGGAAACTACTATAGAGCTTGAGAGTGTCAGCTCATCTGATGATGCCATCACACATGCTGCGTTTGCCTCAGAGAAGAGTGCGTGCCCGCCCATCAACCCAATGTTCAAGTACTGACCACTGATAGAGCACCTACTTCTCGCCTTGGCTACAAGTTCAAAGCAATTAAGGCTGGTCAGGATCGAGATACACTGGGGCCAAACACCTCAGCCCGACAAGAGCGCTGGCCGGCCAGCCGGGAACCTCAATCCATCCTTGGTTGAGAAACACCTAGCTACCACAAATTGGCTGCAGGGAGGCTCTGGTGATTCGAACAACGATGCTTCCATGGCCGAGCTCTCTCACTTGGAGGTTCTCCCCTCGCTGATGGACAGCACTGGTATGAACACCACACCGCCAATGGTTGTCGTTGTCAGGTCACGCACCTCCAATGAGGGGCCCTATCAAATGGCCCAGAGTTTCATCGATCGGTGGGAAGCTATCGAGTCACGACAACACCTGCATCAGGCATTTGAGCAGCTCGGGGGTCGACGAAACAGCCTTTCTTCAGAGCTTCCCAACATCACACAACTTCACAAGGTTGCACCCGTCATTATCAATAAAGTTGTCATCGCATTCCACACACTTCACTTCGGCAAGGTGCTGGTCCTGGCTTTTGCGGATGGCACGGTCGAGTTTCGCGACCGGCTCACGTTTGAGGAGCTCTATGCAAACCAAGACACAACCAAGGTTATCAATCTTCGACAGTTAGGATGGACCTTTGCCGATGAAGGGCCTTGTAAGTCTTCTTGTCGACATGATGATGTGCATTAACAATTCTTTAGGCCAGCAAGTGGCCTTTTCGCCCACTTACTGCTCCATGATCCAGATGGCCGATGATGGAAAAATTAGGTGGAACAAGTTGCATTTTCCTCTAGGCGATATTGGGAACGGTATGCAAGATCGTATGTCCACTCCTACCCAGGTCCATGGACGTATTACTGATAAACCTAGCACACTACTCTGGGAGCATTGCCGCCTTGACTGTGACAGCTGCACCGTCAATGTTCTACCAAAACAACTATGATGACATGCTTGCCATTGTCCGGCCATACACCACAAAAAAGAGTAAGTTACTTGTGCTGGGACAAGCGTGAATATCCGCTTATTGAGAACAGGATTTGTCCAAGACTGGGTTACGGAACTTATCAGAATTCTCAAAATCCAAGTGGACTACTCAGAGGATACCCACCACGACGCCCTTGTGCGGAATGGTTCGCTACAGTATTGCTTTAGCATCATGAACGCATTGGGATACCGCGGCGAGTTCAATTCTCGATCTTTCCAGGGCAGAATTTCCATGCTGGCATTAAACGTGCGGAACGCCGTGGTTCTTGTTACGATTGCGAGCAATACTCCCCTGACTGTAAGGGAAAAGCTGAGTCCTCTGGATGAACCTGGTAAGTAGTCTGGCCACGCAAGTTGGTACTGAGGGTAGTCGCTTACAGTTGATACAGAGGTCGTAGAAACGCTTGCTGGTTGCGGCAAATGGGCCTTGGATCTTGTGGCTTGGTTGATTGATTGTCTCTTTGAACTCATGAACGACAACAAGTTCTTGGAGCTCTTAACCCAAGAACGTTTTAACGAGATCGCCCCATACTTGCATGAAAAGGGCAATATCTCACTTCATTTCCTCCTGAGCTCGTCCAGCCGAGGCTTCTTATCGGCAGTTTGCCGGAGACTGGGCCACTTGGAGGCTTTGAGCACACGAGCCATTGACTTTTATCGTCGACAGTCAGCCGTGGCAGATGGTTCGTCGACTGGCAGGACAGCTCCTCAGCTGCAGCAGGCATATCAAAAGATGCAGCAAATGACGTCGTCGGGGCTCGTCAAGGTGGCGGAGTTTGAGGCTCTCCTGACTGAGCTCAGCAAGGAGATTAGGCAAGCCTACCAAGTCTTCCTCCCAAACCTTGTCAAGGCCCAACGTAACGCGCCACAAGGGAAGCAGATCGATGTGGCTGTCAAGACAGCTCGAATCCAGTTCGAACTCTCTATGCTCCTGGCTGCGTCGCCTCCGCCGGCATTTCTTCAGATCATGAAGAAATTCTTCACCACAGATCTACCAGCATTCCGAGGCTCCACGGACCCGTCGCGGCTGTTCTTTGCAAACTACGACCTCCTCGAGGTTCAGGACGATGAACACAGCCTAGCAGAGAAGAAGGCACGGGGCATGTTCTACGTTGACGTGTTTAAGCGGATGGAGATAAAACCTTCTCCCAACCGTCAATGGAGACGATGCACGCGGTGTGCGGCAGTGATGGAGGATGTGTTTGGCAGCCGTCCTGGGTTCACATTTGTTCTGGGGCAACAGCGCAAGTGCTCGTGTAGTGGCCACTGGACTCTGTTGCCAAAGGGGAAGCCAGTTTAGTGATGGAGCCTTTTCTGGGTATAATAGGCGTCTCTATTGGATTATTGTTACAGTGGGTTGTTGGGTATAACAGCGTATAGATAACATATCATTAAACAGCGTTTCAGTTGCTCGTTTGTGTCTGGTGCCTAGTTACGTGTCCATGATCCTTGGGTATAGGGGAGTTCGAGTACCTGTCAAGCTACCGTTGGTTGTCGATCTTGACCAAGAGCCACATTCAACTCGGCCGTTTTGGAATAAGGCATCCCAATGCGGCCTGTCTTAGGTTTCCCGTGGCCCTGGTTTCTGGTTCTGTCAGCTTTCATCTGTCACAATTCACACGGCGCCTTGCCTCGAGGTCTCGGCTTATAACCTCGGATGGTGTTGGTGGCATGTCTCAGGGCCACCAACAGGATAGGTTGATTCGCAACGGGCAAAAGCAAAATGACTCGAGGCGTGTAGTTGGATACATATTAGCAATCACAGTAATCACACGCATATGAAGAGCTATTAGACGATGGCTGCAGACTCGGTGCTACATGCTGATTTGTTTATGAACGCAGATGAGCAAATCATGTCATCTCACGCACGCGCCCAATGGCATCTTGACCCATGACGATGCCAATACCCTACAGCAGCTGTACTTCCGTAAAGGGATTCGATTTTACGAGAAGAGGCTGGCTGTCTTTCCCAGAACGGAGGGCAACCCCGGAAAACTACGCAAGCTGAGTCTACGATCGGCGGCGAACTCGAACACCCTCCGTCGAGGGTTGCGATCAACGTCGCCGTCGTATCCTCCCCTATCGATCGACATTGGTTTGTAAGAGGTCTGTGTTTTGTGGTTTATTGCGCGCTGCAAGCGCCACTCATTTCGATCGGTGGGGGTGGGTTCTCAATCGTGAGATCAGGGTTCGTTGGCCTCGACTCGAGGAGAGATATGCAAGTTGGCGGCGTACTACGCGGTAGCTTGGAGACGGCGCTTTTCTTCTGATGAAGTTGACATGATGGTCTACTTGGCCGTCTTCCGAGATATGCCGCTGTTCCTCTGTTAAGGGAAGGGGTTTTCTGGCTAGAACAAGGGATCGACAAGCTCCCTCGTCATCTACCCTTGAGGCGGCAGTTATCGAAAGTTCACGGCAACAAATGGCACGCATCTATACTAGCCTCAGCCTGCCACGGTAATAAAGAGGTTCCTACCATTGTATTTTCGTAAATGAGCACATCATGGACCCCCCTTCACCCCCTGTTAACCAACCCGGAGATGGACCTCGTCTTGGTTAGCCGAACTGGCCCCAGATTCAAGCCGTCCAAGGCAAGACGCCTGATGTGATCAAGATGCAATTTGTATTCCGTAGGCCGAGTAGATTCAGGGTTGCATCATTTATTCAAATTTCCGAATCGTTCCCTTTGGACCCTGATCTACGTTTTAGGTTCAGTCAAGACGGAGATGGACGGGAATTTGAAAGGGAGAAAAGACCCTGAGATGGAGGCTGACAAGTTGAGAGTTGGTAGCTATACGCAGATGTGGCGATGAGAAATGAAGCGTAAACTTTGTATCGGTATCATCAAGTGCCGAACGCTTCCTGATACCGCAGACGTCGTGCACATATCTATGAAGCCGCGGCGTTGTCGATCAATGCCACGGTTCCTGCTCTAGCCAGGGCGCCAATGGAACCTGCAAAGAGCCGTTGAAGTATGACAAGGCGCTTAGTGTGATTTCAAGCTTGCTCACCGCCATCTGGCCTGCCGTTCCAAGAAAGAGAGCCAGGGGTGTAGGTTAACGATCCAGCGTTTACAGTAGTTATTGCGCTGAAGATAAAGTTGGGTCTGCACTTTAACAAGCCTGCCATGTCACCGGCGGCGTCGGGTGCGTCTCTGCATCATATCACATTGGATTGTAATTCTGCGAGCCAGCGTTAATTAGCGCCGCGTCCATGTCAAGCACGTGAAGCACTAGCAGACACGCGAGGTTCGATAGACCCTTCCAGGCTGGTTCGGCGGGTTTTGTGTGGTCTGTTGTTGCTGGGGGAATCAAGGATAACCTGGACATGACGAACGAGAAATATATGCAGATGATATCACTTTGCCTCAGCAGACGCTGTAGTTGAACAAGCTTTCTTATTTTCAATAGTACGGGCGGCTACGTGCATATATGCACAGAGCGTCCCGTCTCGATAGCCGCCGAACTGGTAACGATCACGATACAAGTGTCGGTCACACAGCATGGCACACAGCATGGCATGGCCTTTAAAGATGGCCGTGACACCCGCTAGAAGATGGATCAAAATACCAGGCTGATCCCAGGAATCTCGATTCATGCCGTCCACCTCTTGGTGAATTGCCCACCCCTGCACCAGCCCTCTCATGCCTCATGGCTTTGGTGGCCCAACCACGTTAAGCCACACACAGGCATTGACCACGGGTTGGCCTTTGTTGTTTGTCCGCCTCTTTTTTCTTTCATCCCATCAAGGGTTTCATTTTATTACCAGAGGGCCAACCAGATGAAAACTAGGCCGTTCCAGCAATCAACCATCAATCAATCAATCAATCGCGGAAACCCGTCAGCGTGGTCTTTGCCTCCCACTTACAGCTGCGCTGGCCACATTACAGCAGAACAGCCGTCCACTCAGAGCGGCGAATTGGTAAATATCTGGAAGGTTACATTGCAGACGCCCACTCCTTGCCTATACATGAACTAAAGACAGCAAGTGGTTATGCGCAGAGATATCCATTTCAATCGTCAATTACAGTAATTGCCTGCCCCCTGAACGCACCACCGACTGGACGAATCCCTGAAGCGCCAGGGCAACCTTGAGCATTGGCGCTAGCGCAGGTACACCCCTGCCCTCGCCTCTCTGCCCGCCATCTTCACCTTCATCACCACCATCACCAGAAAGCCACCCTGGTCAGTCGGTCGCAATTGGTCGCCCAGGCCACGGCCTCCCCCAGGTTCCCGGCGCTTCTCAGGTACGGACGACCTCTGAGTGGTTCAGCCATCTGTGTCGCGCCTCTGCAAGTTCGTCGTCTGACTGGCTGATTCGTCGTTTGCTACCGGCCGTGACATGGTCAGCCAGCCAGAGGCGTTCTACATCCAAGCCTCGTCATTCCACGCCTTCAAGATACCTCCTCTGGCCTGGTGATAGGCAAACAAACCCAAAGAACCAAGCCTTTCTTGCCTTGGAAGAGGTCTGGTCTGGCTTGCGGGGGTCCCACGCACACGGTCCAGGATTAGGTTACCTAGTAGCCCACTCCAACCGCCCGTCATCCCCACCGAGGCTGCATCCCCACCCCCTTTCTCCCGTCCCCTTGAAGGCTTCAACAAGGCAAGGCCATTTTCAGAGTCGACAAGCTCTTTCGAGGCCCATTGGACCCCTGACTTAGCGGCGATACAGAGTCCGGCCGACCGTCGACCAGCGCGCATGGTCCCCAGCCATCGCTGCAATTCTCCCCTCTAGCTCGGCGCGTGGTCATTCTCTCCATCTCATCCCTTCACTTTGTCTCCTGGGGCTCCTTCTCTTCCTCTTGCTAACTCGTTCGCCTGCCCTTACTGTCCGTTGTTCTATCCCGCCTATCCATGGGTCAATTCCATTTCCGGCGATAAGACATTATTGCTGGCCCCTGGGTCAACACGTCACACGCCCTTTGTCTCGACCTCACCCCCCACACCACTCACACACCAACTCGACTTGGCTGGTCTCTTGCCGCGCGATCCCCCAAGTCCAAGGCCTCATACGAATTAACCTCTGGGTTCGTATCGAGACGGTCGTCGGTATATCTTCCAAATATGGAACCTGCCCTGGCCGCCGCCCCGGCGCCTGCTGCAGTGCCGATGCCTTCTTCGTCCACCTCCAACTCTGATACTCGTCCTGATACTACTGCACCTCCTGTCGACGTTCCATCTGCCTCGGCTTCTGCAGACCCTGACGACATATCTCGCCGGTCTTCTTCAACATCGGACCACCCTCTTCGAACTCTGCCCGAAGCCTCTCCTAGGAACGCGGCCGCGCATTCTCGCTCCCAGACGGTCGACTACAGCTCTTCCGCCTCCGGCCCTGCTGCTCCCGAGTCCGCTTCCGTCACCTCTCCGACCGGGCCGCCCATCAAGCGCAAGCCTCTGTCGTCGTCGGCTTCCGCTCTGGCTCTCCGATTCTCCTCCTCCGGATCGCCAATCCCTTCGCCGCTGCAGCTCCCAAAGCCAGACCAGAGGTTCGCCAGGCCCGATTCCGTCGACAGTCCTACGCTGTACGAATTCTCTCCCGCAGCTCGTGCCTCGCCGCAGGCTGGCCAGTGAGTCCCCTCGTCCGTTCTTTGTCTCACATAGCCGAATCCCACCTCCCCATGGAACCCGTTGCTGACTGGAATCCTCTCGTGGTAGACCCTCCGACAAAAGTCTGGCGACCCTAAGCGCGACTCCCGCTGGGTCGCAAAACATTCCAGGCCACAGCCCTACCGCCTCGCACTCTGACTTCTCTGACGTCCTGGATGGATATGATGATCTGATCTCAGACTTCAAGTCAGACTCTGCGCCAGACGTTACCCCCGAGACCGTGCTCGACGAGAGCGACACCGACGACGACACCAGTGACGAAGAGGCCGAGATCGCAAAGGTTGCAACCGTCGCAAAGGTCACAAAGGTCGATTCCAGTGACAAAGAAACTGTCGTTGGCCCTAGCGCTGTCAGAGCAGTCGATCACGTTGATGAAACAGACGTCAAGGTCAAAGAAACTGGCTCAATCGCTTCCGAAACTCCTAAATCCATATCCGCCCCTGCGCCCATGTTTGCCCCAAAGCCGACACCTCCACATCTGAAACTTGACAAGGTCGCAATCGACGTCGCCAATTACGATACACCACCTGACGGCGCACAAACACCACCTTCTGTTCAGACCACGCCGTCGCCTCAGTTGAACAAACCCTTGCCAAAGTCACCCGGCCAAACCTCCCCGTTCGCTGCCCTCTTTAGCTGGGCAGCGCCTTCACCATCCGCCACGGAGTTCTCATCTATATCGTCGCCCATTTCG